CATTTTTTATTAGTGATGTAAGTGGTACAAAACAGTGGGTATCATATGACATTTTCATGCATTCATACAGTGTTTCCTGGCCCCTCTCCTGTCCTACCGGTTCCTTTCTCCCCTCTTCTCTTTTTGAATCTGCTTTCTACATGGGGTGTTTGTCTTTCTGAGTCTGGTTTATTTCTCTTTACATGAGGACCTCCCAAGTTCCATCCATTTTCCTGCAAACGCCATGATTTGTTTTTTCCTTATGGTTGAATAAAACTCCATAGTGTATAAATACCACATTTCTTTATCCTAGCCATTCATCTGCTGACGGTCCCTTACACCAATGGCTTAACTTGGCTATTGTGAATACTGCCACACCACACATGAGAGTGCAGGAATTTCTGTTGTTTGGACTTGATTTCTTTTTGTACGTACTTAAATGCTACAGCTGGGTCATGTGGTAGTTATATTAAAAACTTCTTGTCAGTAATAACGTTATGTTACCCAATGGGTCTATTTGCATGGAGACATTTAATTTTTAGTAGTAATAATAATGATTATTATTGTGTTGTGCATGGACGCATAGGCCAGCACCTATGTGGGGTCAGAGGACAACACTGTGGAATCACTTCTCTTCTTCTGCCTTTTACATGGGTGCCGGGTTCTTATTCAGGTCTCCAGGTTTCCACAGCAAGTGACTTTCGTCACTCACTGAGATATCCAGCCAGTCCCATGTTGTCTTTATATATGCGTACTGTGAATAAGATAAAACTCTTAATGAGAGAGACTTCTTCTTACCCTCCTACCATCTCTTGAACTAAGCATGCATTTATCTATTTAAAATTTACCTTTGGAAATTTTATTGAATTTAACTTTATATGTATGGTGTTTTACTTTCTGTATGTTTGTGCAAGTGCCACGTGCATTCAGAGTCCACAGAGGCCAGAAGAGTATTTTGAACCCCCTGGAACTGGAGTTAGCAGCCATGTCAGCACCCGGGTACTCTGGAAAAGCAGCCCATGCTTTTAACCACTGAGCCATCTCTTCAGTCCTGAATATGTATTTAGACTAAAATAAAGATTCTGGGGGCTCTTCTAGAGGACCTGAGTTCAAGTTCCATCATCTTCAATAGGTGGCTCACAACCACATGTAGCTACCGCTTCAGGAAATCCAATACCTCTGGCTCCTTTGAGCAAGGGCTCCCCCCACACTTTTAAAAAGTAAAGGAAGAAAAAGAACGATTTATTTGTGTGTGCTTTTTTTTTTTTGAGACAGGGTTTCTCTGTGCAGCCTTGTCTGTCCTGGAACTCCCAATCTGTAGACCAGGCTGGCCTTGAACTCACAGAGATCTACCGGCCTCTGTCTCTTGAGTGCTGGGATCAAAGTGCTCCACCACTGCCCAACAGAAGATTTGTTTTTAATTAACAGCAACATAAAAACAAAACACCAAGTCAGATTTTAAAAAGCGGGGTTATTTCCATTCATGGAAATGAAAGGTCTGAGATACCCTAGCTCAGACTGTGATTTACTTGCCGACCTCCAAGGTGGCAATGGCATCAGTGTCCACCTGGTGGCGGGATGACAGGCAGTGGCTCCAGCCCTTCTCTGCCCTGCAGGAAAGAGCGAACATTGCCCGCAACAGAGTCAGCGGGTGCCACCCTTCTGGGATGGAAGTGGTGTGTGATGAAGCCTGGCCACAGTGATATTGCAGGGGTGTAAATGAGTCACGCATTCCCCATGCTGTTCTGGAGCAATATGCCTTTAGAAGCTTGTATGCCAAGGGACATGGGAGGAGCTGGACATTAGGGACCCGCAAGTGTGTGGGCTGGAATATACCCGAGTCTCCATGGGCAAAGTTTTCAAATCTGACCCTGTGTTAACTAGAGGTACCTGGGATATTTAGATTTTAATTTTGTCTCTAAAATGATCCTGCCAATCATAGTCTCTCTTTTTTTACCTTTGCCATCTCCCAGAAACCAGACCACCACTTATTAAGAAAAGGAGAGGCTGGGGCTTGGTGTTGCACACTTTAAATCCCGGCACTCAGGAAGTAAAGATAGGGACCTCTGTGAGTTCAACACCAGCCTAATCTACATAGTGAATCCAGGGCCAATAATTTCCAAGGTTATGTAGTGGGACCGAGTCACACAGCTGGTCTCACATATACAGATGATGATGAAGAAAAGAGACAGCTTCCTGTGGTGGTACTGTTTTCATGGCTTCTCCTTATAAGAAAGCGGGAAAGGCTGTTGAAGTGGTACATGCTCATGCTTCTAGCACTCAGGAGACTGAGGCAGGAGGACTGCAGTCAATCCAAGGAGAGCTAGGGCTATACAGAGAAACCCTGTTACAAAAACAAACGAACAAAAACAGGCAGGAGGAATGGGGCCCATTTATTTGACTTGTTTTTCCTTTAGACTCTTGAAAGTAGAAAAGTGATTTTTTTTTTTTTAAACTCAAATTAGCTTAGAAGGCCTCCAAAATTTGATTCCATCAATTTGAATCCCAGATCAGGCATCTATGTCGCTGTATGTGCTTTTTAAACCAGTTATCTCATAGTGCCTGAATTTCTTCAGGTGTACATGGATAGTTTGAATAGAGGGTAGATGGCTGGATAGGCACACGTACACACATACATGCATACATACTTACATGCATAAGTACATATATGCACTGATGTTAATAAAGTACCTAGCAGTGGGTGACAATATTTTTCTTTAATCTCCACACACACACACACACACACACACACACACACACACACACACTCAGAGAGAGAGAGACTTTATCTATATATGTCTCTATATTAATATAAATTCATTTAATCCTTGCAGCCCCATTGTCATAGATGGTGCCTGATTTACAAGTGTGTGAGATAGGTCACACATGCAGTTTAAATTGGCAGAGAAAGAACCAAGCCAGTCAGGCTGTCGTGCAGTCTCACCACGCTTTGTGTGTAAGTGAATCACTACAGTGTCTGTGAGGTCCCAGTCCTGGTGCAAGTTCCCAGTCTAGTATGGGGAAATACAGACACACCACAGCAGAGAAGGTAGCAAGAGATGCTCTCAGCCAGGTTGAGAGCCAATTAGTGTGAGCCCCGTCTGTGTTCACCAGTGCTGTGCACTGAGGCCACTAACTTTCTTCCATCCTCTCATTTGTAAAGAGACCTAGATTGTAGTGCCATTGTAAGGGTTACGTGAGATAGGTACATTCTAGTCTCCATCTCGCCCCTTTCTCACCTGTGTGGGTTGGGGAAGGTTTCCATAGGCTGTGAGAGTCAGAGGTAATAAAACTCTGCACCCAGTTCTTCACCTGCCACTCATATATGCATGATCTCGATGAACCCTGTTTCCTTATTTGTAAAGTGAATATTTACACTCTGTAGGGTAAATGAATGGAATGACACACTATTTGTAAAATGTCCCCTATCTCCTTTAAACAAACAAACAAACAAACAAACAAACAAAAAACGGCCTCAGGTACTAATTCTTTAAGGCTCATTTGAATTCAAAAGGATCAAAACTAGAACCTACCCTCTTTGAGAGGTGCTTCTCCATGGTTTAGCCCCAGTCTATGACATTCTTTGACATTCTGCTCAGACACATGTCTCTACCACCTCCTGGGTCTATTAATATACCAAGCAGAGTTCCAGAGATACAGGGATCCCTCTACAAGTAAGGTGTATCAGTAGAAAGACTTAAAAAATAATCTAAATAACAGAAATGTTCAAATAAGAGTTAAATTAGTGCTAAAGGGGTTGGAGAGATGGCTTATCAGTTAAGAGCACTGGCTGCTCTTTCAGAGGACCTGGGTTTGAGTCCCAGCACCCATATGGTGACTCACAACCTTTTGTAGTGGTAGTTTTTACAAGATCTTATGCCCTCTTCTGCCCTCCAAGGGAACTGCATGCCTGTGGTACACATACACACACACACACACACACACACACACACACACACACACACACACAGGCAAAACACTCATACACATAAAATAATAAAATAATAAAAATATATTTTAAATAAAAACAAATAAGTGATAAAATTCTACATTTTAATACTTTGTTGATTAAGGGTAAAAGACACCTTATAGAGGAAATAATATATGTTAAAAGCTGCCTATAAAGCTCAGTTGATAGAGTGTTTGCCTAGCATTCATGAAGCCCCAGATGTTATTCCCAGAAACATATAAACCAGATATGGTGTCACATAAAGTTAGCATGAAGGAGGTGGGGACAGAATCAGATGTCCAGAGTCATGCTCAGCTGCATAGTGATTTGAAGGCCAACCTGGGTGGCATAAGATCACATTTCCAACAATCTAACAACTCCCAAGGGGTGGGGGGAGGAAACCCAACCAAAGAAACAACAAAAAGCTCCTAACAAAACAAACAAATAAATCTTCTTGTATAGAAGGAAATGACTTTTGTGTTAATTTTGAAATAACAGGAGTTTTCTGCAGTGGGAAAGACCCTTGAAATCAGGGAAAGTTTTTGCCTCGGAGTTTTGATTGCTGTGGGAAACACCATGATCAGCAGCAACTTGGTGGGGGCAGGGTCTATTTCAGTTTACCCTCCATCATCAGAAGAAGGCAGGCCAGGAACTTAAGGCAGGAACCTGGAGGCAGGAACTGATCCTGAACTCATGGAGGAGTGCTGCTGACTGGCTTGTTCCTCATAGCTTCCTCTGCTTGCTTTCTTCTGTCATCCAGAACCACCTGCCCAGGGGTGGCCCTACCCCTGTGGTGTATTACCCTGTAGGCACTGCAACCCACATCAGTCACTGAAAAGAAAATGCACTCCTGGTTGTCTACAGGAAATTCTTATGGGAGCTTGTTCTCAATTGAGAGTTCATCTTCTCAGATGACTCTAGCTCATGTCAAGTTGCCATGAAACTAGCCAGCACAGCATTGTACACGATTGTCATGACTATGTACAGTCCCATGTTTTTAATGATTTCAACTCTGGAACTTGGTTGCATGTAACTCTGTATTTCTTTCTTTTTGTGTTTGTGTATGTTTTAGATGGAACAGATTAAACGAGCCAACAAACTGTTTACCAATGACTGTATATTTTTGAAGAAAACTTTGAACATCCCGATTCTATCAGAGAAGCCTTTTACCTTTAATGGACTTAACTCCATCGATTCTCCAGAAAAAGAAACTGTTGACAGCAGTTTTTGTCATGAAGAGGAGACTGTGGTGGCTGGGGAAGAACTGCCTCCTCCCAGTCCTCAGGACCCAGACCCCAAACCTGTGCAGCCTGAGGAAGTGTCTGCCAGAGATTTCCTGCAGAGACTTGACTTACAGATTAAGCTATCAACAGAGGCAGCCAGGAAACTCAAAGAAGAGAACAGGTGAAGTTTCCTGGGAAAGGTTCAGAGTCTAGATCAATACTCTTTGGATGCTCTTGTTTTAAAATCTGTCTTCATTATGTGTGTGTGCGTGTGTGTGTGTGCAAGTGCACATGTGTGCAGGTATGTGTATGCATAGGAGTATGATAGTCAGAGGTCAACTTTGGATGTCATTTTTTTTTTTTTTTTTTTTTGAGACAGGGTTTCTTTGTTGTAGCTTTGGCTGTCCTGGAACTTACTCTGTAGACCAGGCTGTCCTTGAACTCACGGAGATCCACCTGCCTCTGCTTCCCTGAGTGCTGGGGTCAAAGGTGTGTGTGCCACCATCACCCAGCTGGATGTCATTCTTTAGGATCCTTCTATTGTGTATTTTTGAGACCATGTCTTTTGGAACTGGCTAGGTTAACTGTATGGGGAATCCCCCTGGCCCTGGCCTCATCAGCACTGGGATTACTATGAATTTGCTACCATGCCTGGTGTTTTCATCGTGTTCTAGGGATTGAACTCAGGTTCTAATGCTTGTGCAGCAGGCACTTTATGGACATCTATCTCCTTGGCCCTGGAAAGGCATCTTTAATCTATAAAATCTAAGTGGCTGTGTCTGTTGCCCTGACTCTGTCACTGTTATTTAGCATAAAAAGTTTCCTTCTTTGCCCAATGTTACTGTCCAGCTAGCTGTGTGAGATAGCACCTGGAAGTAGAAACAGCTCATGACACCTTCAAGGGAAGCAGTAGCCTGGAGAAGACATAAAATACTGATTCTTCTAACACTTGTGAAGACACTGCTGCTTTTACCAGGATCCTCCAAGATTCCTTGTGAAACTTGACCCTAGGGCAAACCTTTGTATAATTGGTGTCCTTCTTCCTGTATGAAGGGCATGAGTTACTTTTCCTTTTTTTCTTGTTATTTATTTGTAAGCAAAATTGATGCCAAGGTTCAACCACTGTCTTTTTTTTTTTAATGATTAATACATTGATTTCTTGGTCCTTTTTAAAAAAATTTTGTTTTATAATATATGCCACTTGTCATATAGACCTCAAATTCTTTTTATGTTTATTTATTCATTTATTTTTGAATAAATACAATGTCTCAGTGTAATCCAGCTGGCCCCAATTCTTGACAGTCCTCGGCTGCAGCCTTCTAACTGGCATGAGCCACTGCCCCTGGCTCTTTAAATCCTTTTGAGAAAGAAGAGGAATATAGACAACAAGTAGAATATCTTTAATATATTAATATTATGTAAGTAAATGCTTCTGTTTATTTTAATAACTGAGTGTCCCTTAGAAAGAGGGAGGAAGGCTCACCTGAACAAGTATGACCCTTACCTGGCTTCCAAGGCACATGTAGTATTTTGTCGGTCTATTTCTGCTCTTCTTTGGCAGTAATAGTCATATATCTGTGTTTTGAATACAGTTGTAAACACTGATTTCTGCTCTGTTTCTATTTTTCAGGGATGAAGAAAGCCCCTATGCTGCTTCCCTTTATCATAGTTAGTGACTAGCGGACATTATTCTAACCCAGATCAAAAAATGGCTGGACCCTAAAGAATGCACCGGCTGGGGCTTTAGAAGCAACGCCGCTTCTGGACCCCCATAGTGCGCATCTTCGAGCCACAGTTACGTAGACCAACCGTAGATGCACTGAAGGGATCATTTTCTCTGGCTTCCTATAGTTAAGTCTTACCGTGGCATGATAGCAAACCTGTACTCTAGAGCCTGTCACTTTTGTAGGTGGTGGTAGTTTTAGACTGGCTTTTGTAGCTGCAAAAAGCATCAAAGACTTTATATATTTAAGCCAAAATCAATGCTTATCTCCTGATGAGATCCTAAATGTATGAAAAACATGGTGGCTGTAAAGTGATAATGCGTTTGTTGTGTGTTTATAACTCAAGTCTATAATATATATTTCAATATCACATATTCTGTACCAAATTTTGTCTGCTATTTTGTAAAAGTAAAATACAGATGTCTGGAGGAGAAAAATAAACTATGTTTTCACATAGGAGCCTTCATTTCTTTTTTTCTTTCTTTCTTTTTTTTTCCAAATGGGGCAATAAAGTTGATTTTGTTTTGTTTGATTTTTGTTCAAGAGATAGGTGGTTTTTTGTTTGTTTTTGTTGTTGTTGTTCAGAAGATAGGGATTCATGTGGTCCAGGCTGACCTTGGGCTTGTTATGTGTCTGAGAATGACCTTGAACTCTACTTCCAAGTCCTGGGACAACTACACCAGTATGAGACACACTGAATTCTGTTTAGATTTTATCTCTGTGCTTTACATTGTATCACCCCTGCCCATTTGAATTAAAAGTTAAGTTCTTTCATCTTTCCTTTATGATGTATTTTAAGCTGTGTACCATTGACAACTGATAGATTTTTAGTCTTGACATCTACTCAGTTACACGTTTAAATACGTTTAACAAGGTTAAATGAGTCTCTATGCTTCCACAGACATTTCCCGTCGTCACCCCTCCCCAACATCCCCTGAAGAGCCTGATGTCTGTGGAGTGGAAGGGACTTGTTTCCCTGCTTCCTTGCCTCCTTTCTTCTTCTCTATCATTTTTTTCCTCCCTGTTTTGCCCTTTTGTCTTTTGCTCATCAGGAGCAGGTGCCTGGGGTATTAGTACAGTATCAGGTCACTGTCATTGCTAGTTTTCAGTTGCTGTGCTAAGATACCACAGCCAAGACAACTTCCAGAAAAAAAAGAGCCTTTGGGGCTTACAGTTTGAGATGGTGAGTCCATGAGCATTATGATGGGGAACATGGCAACAGGCAGGCAGGCAGGCAAACATGGTACCCAACCAGTGTTGAGAGCTTACATGTTGACCCACAATCATGAGGCAGAGAGAATTAACTGGGAGTAGCCCTGGCTTCTGAAACCTCAGAGCCCTCCCCTAGTAACACAGCTCCTCCATTAAGGCCTCACCTCCCTAATCCTGCCCAAACAGTTCTACCATCTGGTGCCCACATACTCAAATATATGAGCCTCTGGGGACCATTCTCATTCAAACCACCACAATCACAGACCCAGCCTTGGGAGGGCTAGTAGGGTGATAGGGAGTTTTTGTCTTGCTGATGTATTTGCGTCTCACTTAACATAATCCCTTGTATCTTGTTCTCTGTTAGCACCCTTGAAATAGGCTGTCCCCCCACCCCCCCCCCCCCTCTCTCTCTCTCTCTCTCTCTCTCTGTGTGTGTGTGTGTGTGTGTGCTCGCGCGCATGCATGCATACCCGGAAGTTGGCATCAGATGTCTTCTTCTATCTCCATTTTATTTATTGACACCGGCTCTCTCCCTGAACCTGGAACTCACCAATTTCAGCTAATTTTGCTATCAGGTTCGCCCCAGGTATCGCCGTCTCTGCCTCCTAAGTGCTGGCCTTACAGGTGGACAACATGCCTGCTTGGCTTTTTATGTGAGTTTTGGGGATCTGAACTCTTCTTGGTTCTCATACTTGCAAGAGATCTATCCACTGAGCCACCCTCCCAGCCCCCGTGCCCTTTACATGTATGCAAGAGATCTGAACTCAGTTCTCCATGCATGTACATGAGGCCATCTTTCAGTTTAGAACTGGGGTATTCTCTTGAGAGTGCTTTGCTGTTTTGTTTATTGTTGTTGTTACTTAAGCTGTGGAGGTTTAATTGGAAAGGGAGAAGACAAGTAAGGAGAACAGAAGAGGCCCAAGCAAGCTACTTTGGACATAGTGATAATAAAAGTATAGTTATGTTCAGCAGAAAAGTATTTAATTTGGCAGAGATTGATCATATCACAGAAAGCTAGTTTGAAATTATGACCGTAGGCTCAAATATTTATTTCTCAAGTGTTTTGTTTTTTTTTTTTTTCTGTCAGCAATTTTCTATCTAAAATATCTCTTCAAACTTTTAGTAATTTTGTAGCCACAGTTTAACTGTACTGAACTAGAGGGAATTTTTTTGTTCATTTGTTTTGACAGGACTGTGTTATCTATTCCAGGCTGACTTAGAATTTACTAAGTAGCAGCCCTGCTTGACCTCAAATGCTCAGCTTCCTGAGGTATGCTGCACCAGGCCAGGCTACCTGGAATTGGAGGTTGCTAGGAGCCCCAGGCAGCCTTCAGTTCCCAGTCCTGCCTCACTCTCTGAGTGGGATTACGCCTTTTGTCACCACGGCTCGCCATTTCTGTTTGTTTTTCTTCCATGACGGGTCTTGCTGTGTAGCTCTGCCTTGCCTCAGATGTGAGTTCCTCCTGCTCCTGCCTCATGGAGAGAATACTGAAGCGCCAGGGCATGGCATCACAGTAGACAGGACCTAGATTTTTTTCAAACCTGACTTCTCCCCAGTGTCGCCACCTGTTGACCCCATGAACTTGAGCGTATCCAGTGCCCTCGGTCCCTTTATGAAAGAATGCTCTTGTTTATAAAATAGGGTCACACGTGCTCCTTCTGTCTCTGTTACCAAGAGGCAGTAATGAAGACTACAATAAAAGAAACTCATTCCTTACTTAAAAACACCCTGCATAGATACTTTGTGAGGGGATAAGATGATCCAGCCTGAACCGGTTTCCTATCTGAGGTAGAAGCAGGTATGTGACATGACCAAGGCAGAGTCAGTTGAGTTAACATGAATGATTCATTTTAACAGTTTGAGTCACTGTGCTTTGGTAAATGCAGTTTGGGCAAAGGCGTTTCGAACTCTGTCTCCACACTCACCAGTGGCTGGGTCCTTGGCTTGCTAGAACACAAGGAGAGATTAGTTTGTGTTCCTGGCAGGCTTTGTGTTTTGTTTGCCTCCCTAGCTCTCCAAGAAGAACTGTCTTCTATGCATGAAAACCCAGTGTAATGGTGAGTATGGGTGTGGTCAGAACACAGCATAGGCCCAGCAGGTCACCAGAAGCAAGGACAGCTAATTCACAAAGCCTGTTATGTTTATGGATCCAGGCAAGTATGTATAAACATATTTATGCAATTATTTTACACAGTAATGTATTGCCATTTTTGACTTGGGAGTTCCAGCATCCCAAGAGGACCACTGGGCTATGTGGTTGCTTTCAGTCTTGTGCTTGTGATGGTGGCAAGCAAGTTGCAGGAACCTAAAGGTCATAACGTTTTCCTCCCAGTGATTTTTTTTTTTTTTTTTTTTTACCTCTGTTTCTGCCATGCTGCCTGGTTTTTGACCTCTGGCAAGATAACTGTCAAGTCCAGTTTAGATGACTGGAATGGAGCATGGATGTTGACTTTGCTTTTGAACAGTGTGTGACCTCCTTTGGCTTCTTGACTATAAATATTCATCCCTATTGAGTGAGCAATAAGTTTCTGAAAACTCAAAAAAGTAAGAAAAAGCAACATACAAGTAGGGAGTAAATCGTTGGTAAATTCAGCTGTGTGTGTGTGTGTGTGTGTATTTATGTAAGTCATTTATATGTTCATGTATATGATTGTGTGCATGTATGTGTGTGTGCGCGCGTGCGCGGTGCTGAGGATTAAATCCAGGCCTTTATGCAAGCATTTTGCCATTGCTATATTCCCAGCTGTACCCTCACTGCTATTCTCAGTGACTCTTGTACCCATTTTCAACCTCCTTTTTGTGTCATTGTGTCTAACAGAGAGTTGATTAAAAAGGGCAGCCCAAAAAGCTGATGTTTTGTTATCTGAGTATGGGGAACAGGGAAGGGACTAGAGCAGTCTCAGTCTGTGGGTGTTGACCTCTTTGGGAGTCAAATGACCCTTTCACAGGGCTTGCCAAAGACCAGTAGGATAGCATATATTTACATTATGATTTATAACAGTAGCAAGATTGCAGTTATGAAGTAGCATCAGAAATAATTTTATGCTTGGAGGGTCACCACATGAAGAACTGCATTAAAGGGCCCAAGCACTGGGCTAGAGGGAGGAAAGGGAGGGAGGAAAATGATATAATTCTATTTCAGTTGAAACCATTCTTTAAAAAAAAAAGAAGCTGCTGTTTCTCAGAGCATCAAGGCTATGAAGAAATGTGGGTTTATTTCAATGCCCAACAGAGAACCGCTTGTGGAAACATCATGTAACACACATTCAAGGTGCTCAGGTGTCCAGCATGCCTTGAAATAGGATTTCTCAGATCTTCAGGGAGCTTAAGACAGGGGAAGAAGGTTCAGATTTATGTTCAACCCATTAGAGGCTTTTCCAGAGCAGCACATCTCTGAGTATAAAGTGTAAATCCAAGAGGAAATACGGATGCTATATACAAAAATCTCAGCAGATGTACACTTTTCATAATGTATTTATGGCAAGAGAGCTCTATTTTACCCATTTCTAAGGGGTTAACTACTATAAATTCAGCACATTCTAATGCTCCTGGGCCAGTAAATCTTTAACTGCCAAATTAGTTTTGAAGCTATATTGTTTTTGCTGGAACAGTTGAGAGGCTCAGGCTGCCTGCCGTCTTCACAGGCTGCTGTAGATACGCTTGATGGCCTTGGCTTCTTCCTTATCGAGGATGCCTTTCTCCACGTAAGCGTCAGCTTGCTGGTTGATAAAGTCCCTCATCTTTGAAAGGTCATAGTCTAGAAAACATTATTACAGTATTGTGAGCAAAGATCAGCAAAAAAGAAAACCCAACATAGTGTTTGTCATCAAAAGACATTTTGTGTACTAAGTGAATTTCTAGCCTTGACTGTCACAATGGAGGACATGATGTTCTGGGTTTGGGCCATTTAAAGTGCGGTTTAAAGTGTTTTTGGGGCACTGGTGGTGCACGCCTTTAATCCCAGCACTCGGGAGACAGAGGCAGGTGGATCTCAGTGAGTTCAAGACTAGCCTGGTCTACAAGAGCTAGTTCTAGGACAGCCTCCAAAGCTACACAGAGAAACCCTGTCTCCAAAACAAAACAAAAAACAAAAAACAAACAAACAAAAAAAAAAAAAAAAAAAAAAAGAAGAAGAAAAACTAAAGCCAAGAGGCGGTTTGAACAATAAATGTCCACCATAAGCTCTTGTTTAACATTTGGTTCCCAGTTGGTGGGGGCTTAGATTGATTACCCAACTCTTAGGAGAAGTAGCCTTGCTAGAGAGTTCGTCACTGCGGGTAGGCTTTGGGTGTTGATAGCCTTGTCATATGTGTCAGTTTCCTGCTTTAGCTGTCTGCTGCCATGCATCTCTTGCCATGAGAGCTCTTTCTTTGGGGCTGGAAGCTCAAATCAGCTCCTTCTATTAGCTACATTTGGTCATGGTATTTTAACATTACATTACATAACATTACATTAACAGAAAGTAAACACTACAAAGTTATATAAAGTTTCGTTATCATCCTCATAACCCCTCTACGTCAATTTTCCTTTCTTGTGTTTTAGAAGGAGATTCAGGTCATCTAGGCCCCCGACAGACAGGGAAACAGCAGAGAGGCTGAAGGTCAGAACTCAGTAAGTTGCTCTGTCTACACAGCTGCAGTCATGGCATGACCCTAGCACCTAGGCCTCCATAGGCATTGAGAGTCACCCCACGCATGACAAGCAGAACTCACTGTTTACCGCATGGTGGCCTTACTTCTTGGCAGCAAAAGAAGGCAGGTGAGACAACATCAACATCCTCTCTGTGAAGTTTTCTTACAGCCTCTTCCCTCTTCAAACCCATGGTTTGAAGCTACACTGGGGTGGTCACTCTGCAATGGGAGTGGATGGGAACAGCACAGCGCTGGCTGTGACCGAAAGACTGATGCAAATGTGAACGAGAAGTGCTGTAAACACTCCAAATCGGTGTGTCTGCAATTGCACCTGCTTTCCAGTGCAGTTTGATACATGATGGATTTCTTTGATACTAAGGAACATTTTAACTTTCTGAGTTTCTGAAGTCCTTGATTGGCTTTAGTGATACAGGAAATGATGCATTTTAAAACAATGCTGGAGTTGATGAAATACTGTTTGTGTAAGTTGTTTTATATGTGTCCACATGTATATGCATGTGTGTGGAAACATGTGTGGGTGTACATATGTACGTGCATGTGGAGGCCAGAGGTTGATGTTGGCTAGCCTCTTTCTGTCTGTCTGTCTGTCTGCACATCTTTTGAATGAGCACTTCCTTTGTCCCACTCCTTTATTTGTTTATTCACTTGTTTGTCTGTCTTGTGGTACTGGTGACTAAATCCAGGGCCTTCTATATGCCAGAAGCTAGCACTAAGCTATATTCCCAGCTATTTTGTTGTTGTTGTTTGTTTTGAGCAGGGTCACACATGACTGGTATTCAGGACTGTCTTAAACTCACTATTGTAGCCTAATCTGGCCTTGAACTCATGGTGATCCCCTTGCCTCAGGTTCCCAAATGCTAGGATGACAGGTTGTGAGCTCCCATACCAGACTCAGTGCATCACTGGACTGTATCAAGAAGTCACCTGGAGTGACTGGTCTGTACTAGGTTTGTGTTTGTTGCGTTTATGATGTTGCACAATGGCAAAGTCCCCTAATAGCACACTTGTCATATTCCGAGTGGCACACAGATACTTGGGAGATCGCCTGTGATCTGAATGATTCTAAAGCGTGAGAGGCATCCGAAGTTTAAGAGAATTTGCTCTGCAGCTGCACTGGCTGAACACCTGGAATCACTCTGGACTGCTCACTCTCCTCACAGCCCACGGGCTTCTCCTCTTCATTTCCTCTGCTTGCTCACGTTTCTGCCTCATCTTTCCTTGCCTCGTGTTTCTGCTACAGATCTTGGCCTCTAGCTCTCCAGGGCCTTATTTTCAATCTGTAACCACACAACTGCTGAATGCTTTTCTTTTAAAAACAAATCAGCTTCTAATTCAGGTTCCTCCACTGTGGAGCTTACAAACCGCTTCCTGGCCTGACTGCCTACACCTACCTGGCTGCTGCCCCTCCACAGACATGCAGGTTCCCTGGGGAAATACAGCTCCAGTTTCTGGAACACAACAGTCTCCTTGCCCACTTAATAGTTGCACCTATCACTTTTCCCTCCGTAGGAGATTCTTCCTCTCTGCAGCCCTTTCCCCAACTGTCTGTGTTGCCAAGATCACCCACCCTATTCTCTGGGCTCCCCAGTGTTCCTATGCCTATGGAGGATAATACTGAGTAGGTCCAACCAGGGCATGATAGGGTAAACTGCCCCCCCCCCCCCGTGAGTGTGTATGTGTGTGTGTGTGTGTGTGGTTGCTGCATCTTCTTGTCCTGTGCATTTCTGGAACTTTGAACAGGGTCTGGTTCTTAAGTTTGTTTTATGTAAGTGAGGGACTGCTATTGTGACCACAGAATATACCCAATATGTACTCAGAAAATACCCATTTAAAATATTCTAAGATCCAGGTGAGGTGTCTCACACCTGTCATTCCAGCACTGAGGAGGCTGAGGCAGGGGATTGCTGTGATTTTCATAACATCCTGGTATACAGAGTGAAAGCCTGTCTCAAAACAAACAAATGAAAACAAATAACAATGATAATGATAACCCTTGAAGAAAGCTGGGGCAGGTAAGACAGGGTAGGCAAAGTGTCAAAATCAGATCCCTACTCAAGAAGGATGCTGGAAACATGGGTAACACAGTTAAATAAGGATCAGGATAAACAAATAGGCCGAATAGATGTTTATACATGGGGATATTATATTCATTTTGTCTTTACTTGATATTTTTCATAATGAAATAAAAAAAATGCTTTGAAAAACTGATTTGAAAAAAAAAGAAGTGAGGTTTCATATCACAGCACAATAGAAATATACATTCCAAACCTATAGCCAACCTTATACTAAATACTAAATAGAGAAACTATTAAAACTAAATAAATTAAAACTATTAAAAACTAAATAGAGAAAAAACCTGAAAACATTTCTTCTATTATCTATAGTGACATAAGGTGAACATTCTATCTACTTTTTTTTTTTTTCCAAGACAGGATTTCTCTGTGTAACTTTGGAGACTGTCCTGGAACTTGCTCTGTAGACCAGGCTGGCCTTGAACTCACAGAGATCCATCTGCCTCTGAATTCTGAATGATGGGATTTAAGGCAAATGCCCCCCACCACCTGGCTCACTTTTATTCAATATAGTGTTTAAAGTCATGGTTTGAACAATAAATCAGGATAAAGAAAGAAAAGCAACAAAAATAGAAAAGATAGAAGTGAAATTATCCCTATTTCATCAGAAGACATGATCCTACATCGAAAAGACCATAAATACTCCAATGTACTTCAGCAAAGTAGCAGGGTACAAGATTAGCATGCAAAAAGCAGCAAAATTTCTGTAAAATAGTAACAAACTTACTGAGAAAGAAATTAGAGCAACATCCCAATTCATAACAGTTTCAAAAGACCGATGAGGCAAAAGCCACCAAGCAAGCATGGAGGCGCACACCTTCAATGTCAGCGCTGCAAAGGGAGGGCAAGCAGATCTCTAAGTTCAAGGGCAGCCTGGTCTACATGCTTTCAGGTCAGCCACAGACACTTTGCCTAACCAAGGAAGCGAAAGAAATCAGGTGGAAGATGTTTCATGCTCATAGCCTGGAAGAATTACTATTTTGAAAATGACTATATTACCCAGAGTTACAGTCAAAGTAACCCCCATCAGATTTCAATGGCATTCCTCACAGATCTAGAGAAAAATCTTAAACTTCATAGGGAAACTCAAAAGACCCCAAATAACAAGCCAAAAGACCAAATGCTGACCTCAAATTATACTGCAGGGCCATACTAACAAACACAGTGTGGTACCAGTACAAAAAGAGAGATGTAGACAGATAGAATAGAGGACCAGATATAAATCCCACCTAATTTTTGACAAAGGCATCCAAAATGTACATTGGGGGAATAGATAACCTCTTCAACAAATAGTGGTGAAAACACTGGATTTCCACAGAAGAATGAAATTATAAGTACACCTCTAATCTTGCACAAACATCAATTCAAAACGATAGAAGATCTTTTTCTAAAACAAAACAAAACAACAACAACAACAAAAAACAACTTTTACTGTAACTATTTTATGTGTGTGGCCGTTTTGCCTGCATGTGGGTCTGTGCTGCTGGAGGTCACTGGATCCTCTGGGATGCAGTTATAAACAGTTGGGAGCTGGCATTGAGGTGCTAGGAATTGAACCTGGGTCCTCTGCAAGAGCAGCAAGTACTTTAAATTACTGAATCACCTCTCTAATCCCAGTTCAAGGATCTTAATACAAGACCCAAAGCATTGAAACTGCCAGAGAAAAACAGCAAAGGCATTTCCAGATATAGACATATGCAAGAACTTTCTGAAAGGATCCCAGTGTTACAGGAAACACCTCCAGGACATGACAAATGGGATAAAAAAGCTTATAGGAAGTAGTCAGTGAAGAGACAGAACGGAGGAAATCTTTGTCAATTATACACCAGACAGGAAGTTAATATCTAGACTATATAAAGAGCTACAAAAGCTAAACACCAAAGGTCTAAATCATGGTTGCTGGGGAGATGACTCAGTTGGTAAAATGCTTCCATGCAAGCACAAGGACCTGAGTTCAGAGCTCCAGCGCCAAGTTGAAAAATTGGGTGTGGTAGAGCACATCCATAAATTCAGTGCTGGGGTGGGGGTAGAAATAGGCAGATTTTTTTCCCCACTATGTGGCTCTGGCTGATCAGGCTGACTTTGAGCTCACTGAGATCCACCTGTCTCTGCCTCTCAAATCCTGGGATTAAAGGTGTACACCACCATTCCTGGCTAAAATAGGCAGATTCTTGAAGCTCACTGACCCACCAATCTTGCCAATGGCTAGCTTCAGGTCCAGTGAGTGACTCTATCTCGAAAAATAACATCGAGGGCCAGGGAGATGGCTCAGCAGGTAAGGGTGCTTCTGACAAGCTTGGCAACTTGAGTTTGATCCCCAGGATTACATGGTAGAAGGAGAGAACTGACTCCTGCAAGCTGTCCTCTGATCTCTAGAGACCTGCCATGGCATGCATGCATCCTCCTCCCCAAATATAATAAAAAAATAAAATGCAATTGAGGAAGACACTTGTACAACCTCTGGCCTCCTTACATGTATACATATCTAAATGCACCTACACAAATCAAAATCCAGTCAATAAATGGACAAATGGATGAAACAGGCAGGTTTTTGTTTTTTGTTTTGTTTTGTTTTTTTTTTTTTTTTTTGTAAGTGTTCTATTGTTTAGCTCTGGCTATCTGGGAACTCACTACTTAGATCAGGCTGTCCTCGAACTCACAGAGATCCAACCAGGCAATTCTTAAAAAGAGAAGCACAAATGGCCAATGAATACTTGACAATTTGTTCCACATTCTTAACTATCTCACCCCAGTCAGAGTGGCTAACAAAGAAAACAACAAATGTTGAGGATGCTGGGGAAGTGTGTTCTCATGCATCACTATGGAAACATGAGCTGCTGCTTTCTCAAAACACAGTGCTTTCTCAAAACAAAACAAAAAGAAAAACAACAACAAACAAACAAACAAACAAACAAAAAAACCCTGCAAGTGAAGTCTTTGAATATAAACCCAAGTGGTATAAATGGGTCATGTGGTGGTCCTAAGTCCTGCAAAAGGGTTATGTATACAGTCAGGTTTACTGCTGTACCAGTCATGGCAGCTAAAAAGTATAATCAGCCTAGATGCTTATCCACAGATGAGCAGATAAAGAAATGTGGTTCTTATACATGATGACATTTTATTCAGCTATAATGAAAAGTGAAATTATGAGATTTGCAGGAAAGTGAATGGAAATGGAGATAACTATGTTATGTGAAGTAAATCAGACCAGAAAGGTAAATATTATGCTGCTCTTCTTTTAGATGCAGATTCTTGATTTTAATTCTTGTGCATTTCTTTTACTCGTGTGTGTGTGTGTGTGTGTGTGTGTGTGTGTGTGTGTGTATTATGAAAATTCCATAATAAAACCAGTGACTTGGGCTTTTACTTTCTGAGCTAGGGATGCAGAAGCAGGTGAAACTGTGAGTTTGAGGACAGACTGGTCTACATAGAAAGTTACAGGCTAGCCAAGGGTATACAGTGAGACCTTGTCTCAAAAACAAGACAAACAAGCAAACAAAATTATTCTTGTGTATGTATGATAACAAAACAAAAACCTAAAAACAAACACAAACAAACAAAAACTGAAAGAGAAGTGTGTGGGGGGTTATATCCCCCTTGACATCTTAGAGTCTGAGTTTGAGAGACTTTAACTCAGTCAGTTTGACTTTATGGATTGCAGTATAGAAAGAACCCTGGGAAAGTGGGTGAAGTTTGTGATGTACAACCACAGCAAGCCCCTACCTTCTTTGTTTCCTTTTTTGTTGTGTTTCTTCAACCATTCGATGTTTTTTCTAATGGCTTCCAAATAGGCTTCTGTTTTCCCTGGAAAAGGCAGGAGAGTCAGATCAAACATAAAACTGCACCATATCTCTTCTTCAAGGTACAGCAATGTTCAAAACCATAAAACCTGAACTTGTAGAGCAATTGATAGGTGGATTAACAGCTAAGTAGTGTTCATGTTTCTATACATGTGTGCTCATGTGTAGGGAGTTTTCTTTCTTTTCCTCCCTCCCTCCCTCCCTTCATTCCTTCTTTCCTTCCTTCCTTTCTTCCTCCCTCCCTCCCTTCATTCCTTCTTTCCTTCCTTCCTTTCTTCCTACCTCCCTCCCTTCATTCCTTCTTTCCTTCCTTCCTTCCTTCCTACCTCCCTCTCTCTCTTTCTTTCTACTCTTCCTTCCTTTCCTTTCTCTCTCTCTGTCTGTCTGTCTTGCTCTCTTTCTCTCGAGACAGGGTTTCTCTGTGTGACATCCTTGGCTGTCCTGGAATTCACTCTGTAGACCAAGTTGGCCTCGAAATCACAGAGACAGATCCACCTGCTCTTGATGCCTGAGTGCTAAAGGCGTGCACCACCACCTCCTGGTGTGTAGGAAGTTTTCAAAGAGAACACTTGTGGGTAAGATTCCAGACACAGACTGTGTTGTAAGTGTCAAGGATGGTTAGTGACACCACACATAAATTTAGTTCAATGTCTGCTTAGGCTTAAAAAAAAAAAAGATTTATCTTATTTTTAACTGTGTGCATTTGTGTGTATCTGTGTACAGGTATGTGCATGTGTGAATTCAGGCAGGTGTACATGGAGGCCAGAAGAGGGCATCAGATTCCCTGAGGCTGGACTTCAGGCAGTTCTGAGTCATCTGACATGGGTGCTGGGAACTGAACTTAGGTTCTCTGTGAGGGCACTATGTGCTCTTAACCTTGGGCCATCTCCCAGTCTCTGCTTAGACATTTCAACTCCATTTTTCCAGACAGATGGGTCCCCATGAGTCTTAGACTGGGTGATTTCAGGCTAGGGATGACTCTTTCGAGGAGCAGTCTAAAGTCCAGGGATGAATTAGAACAGCAGGTGTTTACCATCTCTATTTGTTGAGGATTCAAAATCTCTAGCTACAGTAAGTCTCACATCTCTAAGCCAAGTTTTGAGAGGGTCTAGATCAACACTCAGATGAAAAGTGAGATCAGGTCTTTTTTCTTTTTTTCTTTCTTTTTCAGGGTACTGAAGTTCTGAACCAACTCTAATAAAACTCCTTCAGATATACCGATTTGCTGAATATAAAAGTATATATACAACTCTTGGCTGAGGTTTCCAGTCTAACTGAGCACCGGCTCTGGGATACCGCTGGCATTGGTCTGGGAGTAGGTATTATTATCTTCAAAATGAGGAATCAGAAGTGCAGGGAAGTGCAGGCCTTAGCCAAAACATTCTAGCACTGGAATTTGGCCTGTGAGCTGCTTGGTTTCTCATATGAGCATCATCTGAAAGACCAGATCCCACCTTCAGACACAGACAATGATATAGCTTGTTCTGCCCTGAAGACATCTATCATCTTTCACCAGATGAATTCTCCATGTTCAAAGTGCATGTAGCAAGACACCAGGTAGAGTCCCTTTCTCTCTTTCATCTAACAGTAGAGACCTTCAAAGTTCAGAGCCTCTGTAGAAGTGCTGTCTGCCAACTGCAGTGTGGCAATGACATCAGTCTGTGGCCACTTAGTGTCCTGATGCCACTAGTGACTGCATAGGGCTCTGTTTTCTGATCTTGCTGGGCCATGTGCTTACCATGTGCCTCAGGCTGTTCTTTCTGCTTCAAATGCATTCTCATCTACTCTTCTCCCTCAACAACTTTTTTTGAGGCAGCCTATTATCATCATCACTTATTTCACATATGAAGCTGAGGCACAGAGAGTAAGGCAACATGATATATAAATACGGCTAGTTAGTTGTAGAGCCAGGACTGAGCTTGGGGAATCTGATGACAGTCCATGTGCAATGTATCACTGCCTTAAGATCTGCCAGAGTTCTCGATTCCACAGCCGCATTTAAGAGGGCTCTCTGAACAGCTTTCTTCCTGGCCTGAAGCCCATGCAGACTTCATTAGTATGACCTCATGCTATCAGGTTCCCAATGAAGTGCTGAGAAACTTCTATGGAAAGGGATAAATTGACAATAAAAAAGAGATTTGCCACAACTTTCAGCCCCTATTCACTGTCTTCACCTATGCAGGAGTGGCTTTGGTTTCAACGGCTTGTTTTTGTGAATGTCAGAGGATGGGGCTGGCAAGATGGCTCAGTGGGTTATAAACACTTGCTTCAAAAACTGATGGCCCGAGTTCCATCTCGAGAACCCATGTGAAGTGGAAAGGAGAGAACTGGTGCTTGAAAATTCTCCTCTGATCTCCACAACATGCCCATGCCCCCTCTCTCATAAACAAAAATGCATTTAAACAAATTAAAGAGTCAGAACAATCACAAAGCAATGTGCCTGGTTAGTGTTAATAGTCCAGTACAATCTACATTGACATTGTCACTGTTTGTTACTTGTTGGGGAATTGACCAACAGGATTTGGTAAATGTGCTTATTAATTTATTTGAGACTATGTCTCTCCATGATTCCTGATTGTTCTGGAACTTTCTACATAGACAAGGTTGGTCTCCAACTTGAAGCTCTCCTCCTGCCTCTGCCTTCTGTGTATTGGGATTATGGTATGAGCCACCAAGTTTCCTTCTGTATTTAGTAATATAGTGATTTCTATTTCAAAACAATTTACTTAGAGGAGGCATTTTGAACAAGGAAAGAAATCTTAATGCAGTTTAGGCTACTTCAAATTTAATTTTTCTTGTAAAGAGCTTAAATCAAGTTAGCAAACTTCATATGATTTATTTTAATAAATAGATAACAATTTATCATTAGAAATTAGATAATTAGGACTTCTGAAACTTTTGAGTATCTTAATATATTTTTCTTTAAATAATTAAAAAATAGTTTAAAGCCTTCTTCTGAAAATCTAATCTTTGATATCATATTGCAGTGTGGAAATCTTATGTGAGAAAAAGAAAATTAATGCTTACTCTCTATTTAAATACTACATTAAAATGCTAAATCAGGCAGGTTAAAACTCTTTTGAGTGCCTGAGAATGGAATGTAGATCAGTTCAGATGGTTTGCCTAGCATGTACAAGGTCTCAGGTTCTAGCCTCAGCATCACACAAACCAGGTTTGTTAATCTATGCCTGTAATCTTAGCACTTGGGAGGCACAGGCAGGAGGATCTAGAGTTCAAGGTCATCTTCAGCTACCTACTGAGTTCAAAACCAGCCTAGGGTATAAAAGATCCTGGCCTGGAGGGGATGGGAGCTCATAACTTTAATCCCAGCATTTGAGGCAGAGGAGCAGAGGAGTAGAGGGACAGAGAGCAGAGGGGCAGAGGGGCAGAGGCAGGGGCAGAACCTGAATGTGAGGTCAGACTGGTCAACACATTGAGTTTCAGGACTGACAGGGCTTCACAGTGAGACCCTGCCTTAAAAAACACAGCACACATTCTTTACCTTCGTGCCTTCCCCATGTAAAGATTTATTAATTTTTATGTATATCATCTATGTGCCCCTTCTCATTTAATGATTTATTATTTTTTATTTTATGTGTATTTTCTCCATGTTTATAAGTGAACTGTGGGCCTGCTGCTCCTGGAGGCCAAAAGAGGACACGGGATTAATTGGAACTGGAGTTACAGGATGGCTATGCACTGCCATGCGGGCGCTGGGAATGGAACCCGGGTATTCAGGAAGAGCAGCCAGTGCTCCGAGCTGCTGAGGCCCCATGCCTCTCTTTATTCACCTGTGATAACTGGACAGCTCTCAACTGATGGAAAATAAAACGACAGATCAGCACTTCAGCCTCCTCAGTGTCTAAGCCTTTGATGCCCACTGACAAACTCTGAAAATTAACACTTATCTAGGGGTAAGGAATCAAGCATCAGCCTCTGAATAAATAACTCTGAGTGGATTCTAGAGTGTGGCAAGGTCTGGCAGGCAACACCACTGGTACTCCACACATTTCCTGGGGATGGCTAAAAGCAGGGATGAAGTCCGGTGTCCCTCTGCTCCTGGAGAGGAGCAGCTGGCTTTTATTTACATTTTCTCTCCCCTGAGCTGTAAAGCAAATCTTTTATTTATGCAGTGTGCTCTGAAAGCCCATGGGAGTCCACTTTGGAACGCTGGGCTATTTTTTCCAATTTATTTCAGCAGTCTTTGGAAAAAAATAGCTCATGGCTGAGGTAATATGGCATGAGCCTTGAAACACATGCTGAAGTGGATGGAAGACAGCCAGAGTCAGGATGCAGGCCTGTTCTGGTCCTCAGTGCTAGAAGAGAAATAGCCCTTCTTACACATGGCCTTGTTGGCCCTGATATGCTACCCTGACCTCTTCCTGTTCTGAACAAAAGTGTAGAAATCCATATGGTGAATCTATCAAGTACCACAGACCCTAAAGACATCAACGCTTCAAGAACATTTACAACAACAACAACAACAACAACAAAAAAAAACAACAACAACAAAAAGCACCCCGTCCAAAAGAAAATGGGACAGCAAGGAAGTGTACTTGCTGTCAAGTCTAATGATCTGCGTTCCAGCCCCCAACCCACATGGTGGAAGGTGAGAACTGACTCCTGAAAATTATCCTTTGACCTCAATGTACCTGCTATAGGGTGTGCTGCCCCCATCAAATAAAGAAATAAATGATAAACCCAAATATTTATAAAGACTCGTTTCATGTAATGTTTAAATTCATGTCAATATTACATGACTACAGTTTTTAATTGCACATATCAAGGCAACTGGCACAAACACCAAGAAGGGTCACAAAGCCACTCATAGAGAACCTAAGTCAGTTGGTTGAGTTCATGCCTAGGATGCCTGAAGCCCGGGTTTGATCCCTAGCGCTGCATGCTTTGAAATGGTGATGCATTACTGTAATCCCAGTGCTCAGGAGTTCAAGGTCATCCTCAGATACATAGGGAGTCTGAGGCCAGCTAGGGATAGGCAAGATGCCATCATGGGAAAAGAAGAAAAGGAGGAGGAGGAACTGGAGAGATGGCTCAGAGGTTAAGAGCACTGGCTGCTCTTCCAGAGATCTTGAGTTCAATTCCCATAACCATCTATGAGATCTGGTGCCCTCTTCTGGCCTGCAGGCATACATGGAGGCAGAATGTTGTATTCATAATAAATAAATAAATCTTAAGAAAAAAGAAAAGAAGGAGGATGAGGAGTAAAGAGGGAAGAAAGAAAAGGAGGGGGAGGAGGAAGAATATTATTTCTCCACAGGGCCAGTATTTTAAATACCCATAAAATGCTGTTGTAAGCACCGGGAGGCCCTGGATTAGGAGTCAGAGGTCATGGGTTCAAGTTTTACTGTTCTCTGACTACCAGTTCTTACATTAATCAATTCATTTCTTACATCTTGCTTTACTGGTTTGTTAATTAGGGGGTGGATTCTGGAAAGGCAATTCATGCTTTTATGTACGAGGAGACACTTCCTTTGATGTCCTTCAGCAATGTGAGTCAATAGAAGCTTCCAGAGTTTGTCTGAGCTCCCATCTCACTTGCTGGCTCAGAGGAGAAGACCAGACTCTGTTTTTGCCAGTATCTAACAAAGTGACTTGGGACTTATATGGAAGCATGTAATTGTCTGTTCTTATGTTGCTTAAGAAAGAGGATCTGGAGCCGGGCGTTGGTGGCACATGCCTTTAGTCTCACGTGGGAGACAGAGGCAGGTGGATCTCTGTGAGTTCAAGGTCAGCCTGGTTTACCTAGCTATAGCTTGTTCCAGGACAGGCTCCAAAACAATACAGAGAAACCCTGTCTTGAACAACCAAAACCAAAACCAAACCAAAAAGGAAAAAAAAAAAAAAGAGGATCTGAATGAACTGTCAGTTTGTGAATTAAATAGCCTGCTATTTCTGGCTTCTATAAAAGGGGTAGAAATGAGAAGATGTTCAGGTGAAAGCAACCTCAGAGGCCACCTTTCCAAGCTTAATTCCATCATCTAGTTAGCAACATGGCAAATGGTGTCACTGGAATGAGCCTATGTTCTACAATGCTCATTACATCCCTTGAATGAGTTACCAAAAGAGTTTCAAGGGGCTGGAGAGGTTTCCCAGTGGTTGAGAGCATTGGTTGCTCTTCCAGAGGACTCAGGTCCATTGTCTGCATCCAGATGGTGATTCATAACCATCTGTAACTTTAGTTCCTGGTATTGGATGCCCTCTTCTGGCCTCTATAGACACTGCACACACACACACACACACACACACACACACACACACACACACACACACACAGACCCATAAGAATAAATCAATTAATTAAATATTTTCAGTGACTCACACACTAAGAGTAAGTAGACATCCAATTGGCAGAAAGAGCAGCACTTAGATAATGGAATGTTTTAAACAACATTCCTTTGTTTGTCTCTAGAGAAAAATTAAGTAAGTTTCTGGATATGGTTAGAATTAGAATAAATTTTTCATTATTGGCATATTCCTGAATTTATAAATAACTATTGACTAATACAAATAACATTACCAGTCAAAAATCATCATGTAAAAAGTACTATTAATTTGTGCCAGGTGTGGTGACTCAAGTCTCTATTATTGGCATTGGTGAGGCCTGTCACTAGCACCAGTCTGCAAATGCTGTTTTTCAGAGCGGATCTGGAATGTCCCCTGGGTTCAGGTTCAGGCACCATAGCTGGTTGTGGAAGCTTTAATCGGGGGTGGAGTGGAGGATGGGGAGGTGGGGGACTCACACACTCAATGGGGATGGTGGGACTCCAGCCTCTAACTTCTCTCCCTTCCATGAAGTAACAGTTTTTCTCTGCCAGTGCCCCTCCTACCACAAGCCCAAAGCACCCAGACCAACAGATGATGGACTGGATCCTCTCAAACTGTGAGCCAAATCCCAACCTTTCTCTTTATGAATCTCAGGTGTTTTGTTATAGTGAGAGAAAGGTGACTAACACACACTCACATTCTACATGGTCAGTATTCACCCTTTCCTTCATGCTCCTTTTCCACTGTGTTTTCTTTAAAAAGAGAAAAGCACAGATATATTACACCATTTCTGGGGATGCTTGCACAGCAATACAGGGTATCATCTCAGCACTCAGCATGCTGCCTGAGCAGGTTAAAGGACTGATGTTACACCATTCCGGGGGATGCTTGCACAGCAATACAGGGTGTCATCTCAGCACTCAGCATGCTGCCTAAGCAGGTTAAAGGACTGACTTTGTGGTTGCTGTGCTCCTGGGGAATGTGCCCTTTGCACATGAAGGAATAAGAGAAGGAAAACAGGGAGAGAGGGAAGAAACAGAATGCCTTGAAGAATTGGCTTCAAGTCCTGTGAAAAGAAAATCTGGAGTGAATCTAGAATATCTTGTTAGCAGAAAGTAAAGATGGGGTACTAAGAAGACAACAGCAGAATAATAAGGGGTTCCTATTGCCATACCGTGCCATCCCCCCCAAATCATCACTAATTGTCAAGAATGGAAAAACAATAGAAAATAGTAACAGTCAGGCATGGTGGTACAAGCCTTTAATCTCAGCAAAGGATAGGCTGAGGCATGTGGATCTTTGTGAATTTGAGGACAGTCTGGTCTATGTAGTAAGCTCCAGGCCAGCCAAGGCTACATAGTTATACTCTGTCTCAATAAACTGAAAAAAAAGTTAGCAAATATGGGGCCAGTGAGATGGCTCAGTAGGTAAAGGCACTTCTGTCAAGCCTATGAGTTTGATCTTTGAATCTCACACGGTGGGAGGAGAGAAGAAGCTGTCCTCTGATGACCCATGTGTGCTGTGATGTGTGTGTGAGTGCATGAGTGTTAGACTGCATACACACATGCACGTGGGCACACACACGATAAATAAATAAGTAAGTAAATAAATGTAAAAAATGTTAAAGGGCTGTGGCATAAGCATGAGGGGCAGATAATCATGTATCATAGCACGGCAAGGAGAAAGCAAAGCTCACCTACTCATTACCATGGAAAGTTTCCTAGAGCCCATATAAAGACCCAGTGCTGTGTTCTCAGATGACAACTTAGCTGAGTGTCAGCTCTCCTCCCCCAGCAGAGACAACTGACCCACATCCACTCTCCTCTCTTCCTGAGGAATAAAATGTCCAGATGAAACTACATTGGTAAGACCTAGTGGGCTCTAATTACACCAAAGAAGTCAACATTTCCTAGGGACAGAAAGGTAAAGCAGGATCAAACATCTCTGCCTAGCTTCTGATAAAGACACAATGTTTCAAACGAGGTGTCTTGAGACATAGGGATATAATTTTCCTATGACACAACTATGAAACTTGTAATAAAAGGGGCTCAAACTATGAGTAAACCACAGGACCCATATCCTGCTCCAACCATGAGATTTAACAATTTTGAACTTACAGTACCATCAAGGTCTTTTCCTAGAGGGAGGGTAGTTTCTGGGAAAGTTTGTAAAATCCTGAGATGTGAATTTTTTAGGCCACAGATAACATCTATTTTTTTTTAAAGGCAAATTGATTCATCTTATTTGTGATTACCAAGTTCTTAAAGGCATTTCCATGTTTCATCACTCCTTGAGTAAGGAGTTTGCCTTGTTAAACCCATATACTTGAGCCACTTGGCTGAGTAAGTTGTATTGTAGTTATTTAGAAAACGATGAAACAGCTTAAGGAAATATTGCTCATGCCTGTAATTCAAGTACACTGGAGGCCAAGGCAGGGGTGTTGCTATGAGTTTGAGGCCAGCCTGGGTTGTGCAGAAAGTTCTAGTCTCAAAGCACTAAGCCAAACCAACTAAACCAAACTCTAAATCAGTAAATATTACTATGGATCAAAATGTGGAATAGTAAACTCAATGAATCCTTTCTTTTCTAAATAAATAAAGTATTGCTCAATCAATTAGGATCATAAACTGAGCATTAAAAATACATAAATGGCTATGAATATTCCCTCAACCATGAATATCCCTTCCCAAGCACAACAATGCATTAAAGAATGAAACCAACTTGCCACCCCAGAAGACTGTTATTCAAGAGAAGGTGTCACATGCTAATCTTAACTGTACTGACTGTACTGCGTGGGCATGATGTTGGACCACCCCACTCTGCGAATCTTAACTAGGCAGATTGTGCTGTGGCGGGGCTTTATTTTGGATCGCCCTCCTTGAGTGCTGAAGAATTCTGCTTCCCCACCTTCATTGCCAACCCAGAGCTGTTAGATCCATACCTTTGGCTTCATCTGTCTTTCCTCCTAGGTTGGAGTTATCATCTTTTGTAGAATCCTTCAGGGTTCCATATTCCTTTTCCATCTTGGCGGCTTCTTCCTTGGTGCTGTCTGTTTCTTCCTGACTCTTCTCTGAAGGCACTGTGATCAGATAGCACACTGTAGTTTTATAACACTGGCTCCTATCCTCCTTAATTCTTAATGCAGAACAAACTTTATTGAAAAGATACAGCTTGAGGGCATGCTATAGTTTTTGAACTGAAAGGGATCTCAGTGGGGTGTCTAATCCAACCCTCTACCTTCATTTCACAGAAGAGGAAACTGAGGGCCCCCGAAGAAGGAGATGCTCACGGTCACCCAACGAGTTAATAAGAAGCTGGCCCCAGACTCCCAGCACTCCAGATTTTGCTCGGGCACTGTTTCTTCTGCCATACTGTCATCAGAGAATGACTGTTTGTCTTGCTTTATTATTATTATAATCATATTAGAGATTGGCTTTCACTATGTTATCCTGGAACTCCTAGATCAAGCAATCCTCCTGCCTCAGCCTTCAGAATATCTGGCATGTGCAATCAAAACTGGCTATTTTTTCTGACTTCCCTCCCTCTTTCCTTCCCTCCCTCTCTGTGGAGGACCTAGGCTGGTGATCAAACTCAGAGCCTCATGCATTCGAGGCAACTGCTCTACCACTGAGTTACACCCTCAACCCTATTTATCTTAATTTGGTTAGTGCTGGCAGTCAGCTGGGATGTGTTATATAGGTCTTGGTTACAAATAAGAATAATTTTTTTTTTTGAGACAAGATCTGCCTTGAACTACCAGTCCTCTTTCTGCCACCTTCTGAACTCTTGTGTTCCCAGCACTGGAGAGGCAAATACAGAGTTATTTCTGCACTTGTTGGCCAGTTATTGTAGTCAAATCTAGGAACGCTAGATTCGGTTAAAGATCATGTCTCAATAAATAAGGTAAAAAACAATAAGGATGTTGACTTCTGGTTTTTACACACACACTGTGCCCCCTCACATGGACTTGCATATACACATTGGAAAGAAGAAAAAAAATTAGTCATTGATTCACATAAAACTCTCCTACTGAATTGTTGTATTTGTAGACGCACATATTTTTCATATCTGTGATACAATGTTGTTTCTAGGTTTGGTCATTATTAGAAGGGGGGGGGGATAGAGAGATGGCTCAGCAGTCAAGAGCACTGTTATTCTTGCAGACTACCTGGGTTTAATTTCCAGTGCCCACATGGTGGCTCACAACCAGTTTTGGGAATCTGGTGCCCTCTTCTGACTTCTGTGGACACCTGACACACATGTGGTACACACACACACACACACACACACACACACACACACACACACACACAATAGATAAATAAATATAAAGGAAAAAAAACTCCGTTTAAATGCTAAACATATAGCTGAATGATAGAATGCTTACCTAGCAAGCAGACAGGGCTGCCTTTAAGCCCTAGCATCAAAACCAAATGAAAAACCCTGCATGAAGTAATCATTTGAAAGGGCACTGGAGCATCACCAATATGTATATAATATGTATCTGGCTAGGGGCAAAATGGTCAAAGCATAAGATCCACAGCCTGCAACCTTTTCTCTTTTTGATCCTCCTTCTGCGCTTGAGAGCAAGATTCTTCACACAGCTCAGCTCTGTGGCGTTTCTGGGCCCAACAGGGCTGTGGGTGGAAGAGAAACAGGGAAAAGGGGCACATTGTGGAGGAGCACAGAGCATCCCAGATGGGTGGATGATCTGGGTGGGGGAAAGCAGTGGGGAATGACAGATGGCCGGGGATGGTGGTCTCAAGAAGTGGTAAGAAAGCGGAATGGAGGCTTTTATGGAAGGTTTGCTTAGTTTTGTAGCCAGCCATCCCCAAAGAGTCTTTGTTAATACCTATGTTAACTTTTAGTTCAGACCTAGGGGAGTGGCTGTGTGGTAGAAGGTTTGCCTTCTACACTGAGGCTCTGTGTTCAATTCCCAGCCCAGCAAAATCAACAAAGAAGGCCCCAACAAAAGAACTTTTCCAAGCTTTTGGCGATATGAATTCTCTGCCATGACAGGCTATAAAGTAGCCAAAATTACATGGTTGAATTTGAGATTTTAAAATGTTATGAAATCTTTAATGCTCTATTAATGCTTATTGAAGCTTATAATTTACCAGTAAAAACAGTTATTCTTTTAACAGCTAGGAAGACTAACACCCACCACAGTTAAGTAAATCCTACCTGGGTAAAGCTTGCTTTTGCTGTCAGTAGTATTTTTTTCTAGCTTGTTCTTGGTCTGCAGAGCAATTGCTTCATCCAAGTTTTCTAGAAAGCAGAGGAGAAGAAATATGATATTGAACATCCCATATGTGCTGATCATGGGTGTGGACCACAACTCCCGTCTTAGATTTTATTTAATTTATTCATTTTTATTTTTAATTTCCTTTAAAGCAGAGTCTCATTCTGCCCTAGGCGGACCTGAGACTTTCTCTGCAGCAAAGCCTGGCTTCCAACTCCTTTTTAAAATCCTCTTAACCCTAGCTTCCCTAGTGCTGGGATTACAGGCTTGAGCCACCATCCCTGGCCAACTGGCTTTACTAGTTAGCACTTTATTTTAATGACTTATCATTTAGTAGTGGTTAGTGGCTACCATGTTGGACACTTGGCTTCAGGTAGCAGCAGGAACAATTGCTTACACAGAAGCCTTTGTAGTATGACAAAGCACAGAATTCCCAGGTCACACAATTGACATTGTTCCAAGCAATGTCTACTCACCATTAGTTAGGGCAGTGGTTCTCAGCCTCTGGGCTGCAACCCACTTGGGGTTACCTATTGCATATCCTGAACATCAGATATTTGTACATTGCAATGTATAAGGGCAGAGATTCTCATCCTATAGATCATGACCCCTTTGGGGTCAAACAACCCTTGCACAAGGGTGGCCTAAGACCATCGGAAAACACAGATATATACATTACAATTCATTACCATAGTAGCAGAGTTACAATGAAATAATTTTATGTTGGGGTTACCACAGCATGAGGAACAGCATTAGGATGGCTGAGAACCACTGTGTTAGAGGAATAGAGTTGGTTGGACAGCACCAATTATAACACGAACACACTTCTTAAGAAAAAGAACCTAGGAATGCACAAATATATACCCACACAGACAAGACATCTGGAAGACTGTAAATCAAAATGTCATGAGGGGATTGGTATCGGGAGTGACTTTAACTTTCTTTCACCACCCGCTTTCTCTTTGCCTTGAATGACTTTTTACAAGAAATATGCTCTTTTTGTAGTCAAAATAAAACCAGTAAGACTGTTTCTATGTAGGAAAACACTGGGTTCCTGCTGGATAATTTTGGATCATTCTAATCAATGATATTTCTTCATCTGTTTGTTTCTCTTTGCCCCAGCAGCTAAGAGGCTAAGGTCACCTTGCCCCAAAGCACATGGGTGGTGAAACATACTCAGGGAAACAAAAGCCCTTAAAAAATAGCAAACAATTGAGCACTTGCAATATGTAACTGAGAAGCCACATTTTACCTTTTTAAAAGATATATTTATTTATATGTATGAATATTTTGCCTGAATGCTTGCATATGCATCATGTATGTGCTGGCTAGTTTAATGTCAACTTGACACAGCTAGAGTCATTTAAGAAGATGAGACCTCAATTGCAAAAATGTCCCCAAGAAACATGCCTGAGGGCAAGCAAGTGGTGCATTTTCTTGACTAATGATTGATATGGAAGTGTCTGGATCACTGTGAATGGTCTCATCCCTGAGTTAATGGTGCTGGGTACCGTAAGAAAGCAGGCTGAGTAAGCCAGAAAGAGCAAAGCAGTAAGCTCCTTTCCTCCAAGGCCTCTGCACAAGCCTCCTGGTTCCTGCCTTAAGTTCCTGCCATAACTTCCCTCAGTGATGGCGTGTGCCCTGAGAGTTATTTCATTCTTCATTTTATGGAGCTGCGAACTGAAGCCTTGCAAAGAGCAGGGCCTCCCCAGCATAGCAGAGTGAGGCTCCTGCTTCCCTAGCCAGTACTCTTTCTGCTTGCTACACACTGTGCTCAGAGCGGAAGATCAGGATTCAATCCAGACTCCTAAACACTAGTAAAAAAAGAAAAAGTTAATGAGTTAAATTGTAACAAAAGTACTCCCCAGAGATTATTTTAAAGGACTAATAAGATTTAATATAAAAATATGTGGAAGATTTTTCTTCAAGCTGTATTTATCAAGATAAAAAGTAGAAAATGTCTAATTAATTTTATTTGTATGCATCACTAAGCTGAGCAATTCTGTTACCCTGGAGATCTGAGTTGCTTTGGCATAAGTCATTGAATTAGTGAGGTGATTATTGCCAGATCCTTAATTTGCTTTGAACAATGAAAACAGCCATGGTAAAAATAAAGAAGAATCCTTACCGAGGTAGGAAACGCCTTCTTCTGGAGATATTGTGCCATATTTGACCATCATTTTCACAAAATCAATCAATGTCTTCATGATAGTAATCAGCGTTTCTTTCTCTTTTGCTTCTTTTTCTATGTTAAAAGAGCAAAATAACTAACTAAAATTTTTATTTATATTACCTTATGTGTGCATGGGTGCTTGGCCTGCATATATGTTTGTGTAACACAGGCATGCAGCACCTGCAGAGGCCTGGAACTGGAGTTACAGATCACTGTGATCACAGTGTGGGTACTGGAAATTGAACTTGGGTCCTCTGGAAAAGCAGTCCATGCTCGTAACTGCTGAGCTATCTCTCCTGCCCCCATGGGAACAAAAATAATTTAAAGACAACTAATAAAAATAATTTACTGCCAATTTATAAAGTAAAGATAATCATTGAAATGTCTCCCCCTCCACTTATAATGAATCCCACAAACATTTAACAAAAACAAAAACAAAAAAACAAAAAACAAACAAACAAACAAAACCCAAAAACTAAGACACAGTTGGGAATATAGGAAAGTTTGTAGTTAAAAAAAAAAAACTGCTCTTAAAAATGAGCGCATTTTAACTTTCCCATTGGGCTTTAATTTCATCTGAAATATTGTAGTAATAAAATAGTAAAGAGAGTGCTTCTGGGGCTGGGATTATAGCTCGGCTGGTGCTATGCCTGACTAGTGTGTACAACACCCTGAGGTTTACACTCCAGCACTGGAAAACAAAACAAAACAAAACAAAAAAACCAGATATGGTGACACATGCCTACAGTGCCAGCATTTGGGAACTGGATAGGAAGTTCAAGGTCATCCTTGGATAAAGAGTTTGAGGTCAGTCTGGGATGTATGAGACACTGCCTGAAAACCAAAAACAAACCTGAAAGATAAAACAAATAAGTAACATTCCACACAGTGGAATTTTTAAAAATACCATAAAATTAACAGGTTGCTGAGTTAGGGAGATGAATTAGGGAGATCCTAAAAAAAAAAAAAAAAAAAAAAAAAAAAAAAGAAAAAGAAAAAGAAAAAAGTGACAGATGACTATGGCTATCCTTGATCAAGGGTGCATCTGTATATTTAGCATTTGCTAACGCTCTTCACGGGTGAGAAGTGACTCACTAGGATGACACAGGCTCTGAGCTGGTCATTTGCCAACCAATGGGGCAAGATGGCTCAGAGTAGATCTTCCAGACACAGCCTTGCAGATTCAAGCAGAGAGGCCCATGCCATCTGGCCAGTGTCTGGTCCTGAAGGATGGAAGCGCATTCTATGATCACTTTATGGAACAAACAGATTACAACTCTAGAAATTTTACACAGTTGTTCACTTGAGGGTTGCAACCAGGGCAGGGAAATCCAGTGTGGGGGCATAAGCCTGAACAGTAACAGAAGAGCGTAAACCTATCATCATTTGCAGATTAACCAGAAACAAACAGGAGCCAAATCCTACAGACAGCTCAGTAAAAAAAAAAAAAAAAAAAAAAAAAAACCAAAAAAACCAAAAAACAAAAAAACAATTTCCCAAATGTGTTTGGACTCTGGACTTCCTTTCATCCAATGCTCAGGTGAGCTCACTGGAAAACCAAAGCAAACAAATAAGGTTCCCACTAAGAGAGGAAAATGAACGCTTTGCAAAAGATATAATACAATTGGCAGGATTTTCTCTTGTCGCTTTGTGTTTGACAATGTGCCTAGAAAACACACTAGGTAAAACAAGCCAGACACAAAGACAGACACAGCATTCTCTCAGTTCAAAATTTGAAGCTTCATTATCCATGGGTTCAACTAACTGAGGATCAAAAATACTAAAGAAAAAAATGTGACTGCATTTTTACTGTACATAGACAGGTCATTTTCTTGCCATTATTCTCCAAGCATTACAGTATAACAACCATTTGCACAGCACTTCCGTTGTGATAGGCATTGTAATTAATTCAGACATGATTTAAAGTATATGGGATGATGTGTGATGATTATATGAAAAAACTGTCTCCCACTCAACTCTTTCCCTCCCACCCTTTCTCTTTCTACTCCCCCAGTGTGTGTGTGTGTGTGTGTGTGTGTGTTACAGGTAATCAAACTCAAGCCTTGGACATGTTAGGCAAGCACTCTACCTCTAAGCTTCATCCACAGTTTTTGTACCATTTTATGTAAAGGACTTGAGCACATGTGGATTTTGGTATCTGAAGGAGGTCCTGACACCTCCTCTATGCCTATGGAAAGACAATTATATGTGGAATTTAAAATAACTAAGGTTATAGAAATAGAGAGTAGAATGTCATGGCCTAGGACTGGGTAAGATAAAACTGGGAGATGCTGGTCAAAGGTATCAAGTTTCTGTTCTATAGTGTGAATAAGTCTGGAGTCTGTGCAGCTTGATATGTATGGCTGGCAATACTGGATTACATAGTTGAAATTTGCTAGGAGGCCATATTTTCACAATAACAGGAATAAAAAAGAAGAGACAGTGGCAACTATATGTCTGGGTGCCATTGGCCTGGCCGTGATGATTATTTCACATTATTTCACAATGTTGACGAGCACCAAAACACCAAAACAAAATAGTTTATAAGCTATTAGGTATAATTGTGTGTGTGTGTGATAGGATCTTGCCATGTATATAAGGCTGGCTTCAATCTCAATATTAGACCAGGCTGGATCCATGCTCATGGTAAGCCTTCTACATCGGCATCCCAAGAGCTAGGATTATATATATATATATATATATATATATATATATATATATATATATATATATATCACCTCGATAAAGTTGAGAACAGATCATTAGAGAACCCTGAAGGTTCAGAGAGATAGCACAGGTGCTAAGAGCACTTGCTGCCAAGCCTGATGGCCTGAATCCCATCCCTAGAACTCATGTAGTAGAGAGAAAAAACTGATTCCAGCAAGTTGTCCTCCAATTTTCATACGTGCTCTGTGGCACACATGCCCACACACAAAATGAATGAACAAATAAATAGAATTAAAAAGAAGGCTGATAACGAAAAAAGCAGCTATACTAAGAGCAAAGGCTGAATAGGGTCAGGGCAGGTTGGTGACCCATCTCCACATGTGACAGATTTGGGTGCCTATACTCAGCAGATGTTCTATAACTGTTTATTGAATAAATACATGAACTGTCTGTTAACAAGATTAAATGATCCAGAAACTCCACATTTCCTGATTACTTTTTCCATGACTAGTACACTGCTTTGGGGGGAAAAAAAAGATGGGAAATATTTTCCCAGCCAACAGTGTATGTCATAGAGAACTGCACTTGGGAACCACAGACAGGAAGAAAACCACCCACACATTTCCAAGAATTACTGTCTCATTTCCCTTCCTCACGGTCATAAAGCAGTGGTTACCTGAGTCGATGCTTGTCAATAGTGCATAGAAGTTGGGGAAATACTGAAGTTCCTCAAAGTCATCTTCACTGTGGGCGTTAGTTCTCCTTTCCAAGCCATTGGACAAGGTCAAGGTGTTAGATACTGTTTCATCATTTTCTCTGTGAGTAAAGCCATCTTGAATTGTTGCTACAGGGGTCTTCAGTGAGGGGAAAACAACAATAGAAAGTAAACATTGTTTAGAACTGATATAACTCCAGGCCAATTCTCTCCTTTCTGGTGACCTTGAATGTGAAGACTCAGGGTTCCTCCTTCACAAGATCCTGCAGGTTCTAGCTATGAGCTACCTTAAGAAAACATCTTGGTGTGGCTCAGAAGAGGCTAGACTGGAGATTTTTATGGTTCTGCCTTGGCCAAGATCCCCTCCATGAATCTTTCATTGAGGAGAGAGTTCTGATTTACACAATGTACAGGGGTGGGGTGGGGTGGGGTTCACACTGTCCATCAGTAACTGTACTTATGACATCTTGGAACTTCCAGGAGGCTTTTGTGTTTGGATGATGCATAATATTTTTTCCCCTTCCCAGACCTGATTGTGGTTTGCCATTTAGTAGACTAGACAGACTCTAAGAGACTTTCTTGCTTTATTTTCTGTTTATTTCCCCTGCATCTGATCCATCAGTATCCTTACTGGCTCTACTTTCAAATCCTACGGTAATTTTTACATCTCTTTCTCCAGTAACCCATGTTAGTTCATACTTCAGCCTCCACTTTCTAACTGGTACACCACTTATCTCAAATGTCTTCTCAATTCAGTATCTCATTCCCCGAGGACCAAGGTATCTTTCTAGCATAGTGATTGCTTAAACTCTACTTCAAGGAGGCCAGAGACAAAGCTGGGTTGGTAAAAGTGCTTGCTTTATGAGCACAAGTGTCTGGGTTTGATCCCTAAACCCATACTAAAAATAAAAGTTGAGCCCAGTGGCACCCACTTGTAATCCTACTGCCAGGAATGTGGAAATAGGCAGATTTCTTTGGATTGATGACAGTAACTTATTTTGCCTGGTGAGTTCCAGGTCAGTGGGAGACCCTGTTTCAAAACACAAGGTAGATGGTGCCTGACAAATAGCACCTGAGGTTGTCCTCTGGCCTTCACATGTATGCATGCCAACATGTACACATGCCCACATGTAAGGATACCCATATATATACATGCACATGCAACTGTATACACACACACACACACACACACACACACACACCTACCTGCTACGGTTTGGATATGTCTTATACCTATCAAAACTCACATTGAAATTTAAATTGCTGGGCTGGAGAGATGCTTAGTGGTTAAGAACATAGGCTGCTCTCCCAGAGGACCTGGGTTCAATTCCCAGCACCCACATGGCAGCTTACAGTTCCAACACCCTCACACAGACATACATGCAGGCAAAATACCAATGCCATAAAATAAAAATAAATAAATTAAAAAATTTAAATTGCCAATAAAAAGGTATGACAGTACTGAAGCCAGGAGGTGTGGTGCACACACAGAGCTAGAAAAGTAACTATACACCGACTTTCTTGAGAGACTGAGGCAGGACAGAAGACAGGGGCAATTCAGAGGACATGAGAAGGGAAGGAAACTCTCACTCTGGGATCTACTTTAGCTTTCTGGATGACAGAGACAAGAAATGGCCAACATAACTGATAAAGCCCAAATTGCCTACAGAGATAATGGAATGTTAATGACCTCTCAAACAGGGGCATCAAAAGCAACAAATGCTGTGTTTACTTAGGGTTAGAATTTTGTCAAATTAACACCCTTCTCTCATCTCTAAATCTAAACAATGCCATAAAACCACCTTGCATTTCATTTACAAAGGGAAACCAACTTACGTATATTATTTTTAAACTTTACTTAGTTGTAAGCTTGCTTGTTTTTTTTAAAATATTTATTTATTTGTATATATGTGTCTGTGTCTGTCCATTTAAGTGGGTGGAGGTCAGAGGACAACTTTAGACACCCTCCTTTCACCGTGTGGGCCACTTAGGTCACCAGGCTTGGCAATAGGTGTCTTTATCTGCTGAGTCATCTTTTGGACTCAGCTTGCTTAATCTTTTAAACATGAAAACTGCATCCTTTTTGTACCCTGACTTAAAAAGACACAAGGTCATAGATGCTCCGTGGTAAAGACATATAAAGGTGACTGTCAGCCAGCGTGCAACCCATACCTTAGGTGTCTACTGTCTTTTTTCCCTATGTTTTTCCATCTACACAGTTAAATACATTTGCTAACTTTGTTTCATTCTTTCTTGTTCTGGGATTCTTTTCTGAGCTATAGCCAAGGGTCTGGCTTTACCTTAGTTGATTCCCTTGGTGAAAGGGTGCTCCTTGGGCTGCTGGAGGTTGTGCTAAGCTTTGTCTCTCCACTGTTGACAAGACTGGGCTAGCCGTAGCAGCCTAGCTATTGTGTGTGTGAGAGAGTGAGTTGTTAAAAGGTGACTGACACCCCTCCCCCTCTTACACAAACATCTGTTTCCCCTTTCCCACATAACAGGGTGAGCAACACATGGCCTCTCCAGAAACTGACCAGAAACTGTCCCATCCTGGGCTTTCTATCTTTCAAGCTATGAGAAAAATACATTTATTTTCCTTTAAAAAAAAAAAAACCCATTTACTTATTTTTATGAGTATGCATGTTTTTGCTTGCATGTATGTCTGTGTACCACATAGATGCCTCGTAAAGGTGGAGGCCAGAAGAAAACATTGGATCCTCTGAGAAAGCAATTACAGAAGGTTGTGAGCCACTATGTGGTTGCTGGGAATTGAATGTGGGTCTTCTGGAAGAGAAGTCAATGCTCTTAACTTATGAGCCGTCTCTCTGGTCCCTATTTCTTTCTCAATAAATCATCTAGTCCCAGGGATTCTTTTGTAGCAATGGGAAGTAGATGAAGGCAAAGCCCTTCAATATTTTTCCTTGGCTTTTACAGAGGCATCAAACTCCACATTGGCTTTTGAGGCTTTCTATGGTCTGGGCTGAGTCTATGCCCCAGTCATAATAGCCACAGGTCCTTGTTTTAGTTGCCTGGATACTCCACACACGTGACCTCTCCTTTTTACAACTTAATCCTATTTGGCTTTTTAGTTCTCAGCTCAAATTGCTTCCTTAGGGAAGCCTTCAAAAGAAGGCTAAGTGCAGAACAGGCATCCTTTCTTAAAGCACTTGATGCAGTTGCCATTAAAATGACCACCTTTTGAAGACAATCTCCATCTTCCACTGGAATTTAACCTCTGTGGGAGGAAAGATTGTATCTTTTTAAATTAGCACGGCATTCTTATACTCTGAAAGAATATTTTATTTGCATTAGTGCATTTAGATGACATGAACAAGCCAAGCATATGGACATTTTAGAAATGAATGAATGTGACAGGTGAAGGACTGTGAAAATCACAACTGATTTTGTTCAAACCTGTACATCTCTTCTTTTATGAATATGGGGAATTTGGTGGTTTGAATAGGAATGGACACTGTAGGCTCATAGATTTGAATGCTTGCTCACCAGGGAGTGACTCTATTAGGAGGTGTGGTCTTAATGGAGTAGGCCAGAACCAATCTTATTTTCTAGCCCTTCTAAAATAGTATCACTGCAGGGCCTGGTGGTATACATCTGTAATCCAAGCATTTGGGAACCTGGAAGGTGGAGGCAGAAGGATTTGCTCTAGAGTTCAAAGACAACCTGGGGTACACAGAAAGTTTCAAGGCCAGCTTGGAGACAAACACAAACAAAACACACACCGAAACAAAACTAAATCCACACAAACATTATCACATTGCATGTGGTGGTTTATACCTATAGCCTAGTATTTAGAAGGTCCGAAGGCATATTTGCCACTGATTTGAGGCCAGTATCATGTGAGGCCTGACAATCACCTCCTGAGAAAACCCAAACCCAAAGCAAACAACATTTGCTGCATTCTATATGCCTTGCTTTGTATTGCAGAGGTTGCTGGAGGTGTTAAAGAAGGAGCTTAAGGTCTGGGAACTCTGGTGGAGGAAAATCAAAAGCAAGACAAGAAATCTGACACTGTCCCATGCATCATTTCCCGCAGAACTATAAAGGGAACTGATGGAGGAGGAAAAGATCACAGTAGTTTTGCTGACTCCAAGAGGAAACGCAGAGAGGAGTCTAGGAAGAGGAAATAAGAATGAATGGCAAGCCCAGATGGAATGTGATAGACAGGCTTCTGAACCAATGAAAAGGAAAAGGGACAGGTGGAATAACACAGTCTAGAATAGAGGAAGGATAAGACTGGGGTGTGAGGCTGCTGGGCAGAGGACTGATCTATCCACTTCTCTTTGTGTGTTTGTGTGTGTACATGCATACACATGTACTTGGGTAGATGATAACATTCATTGTAAATGGAAATTGAATACCAAAAGAGCTATGGAGCACTGGCTCCAGCACATTGGGATGGTGTAAATAATTGTATCATATGATATATAATTCTAGTGTGCTAAAAATGTGACACTTTCCAAATATTCCTTAGCATCAGGTAAGGCACTAAATGTGCAGAGATACAAAAGCATACATACACACATGCCCATGCCATGAACACATTCCTGATACACATATACATACCACTTTCTCTGGTATTTTTCCAGCCTGATACTCGGTCCTGCTTGTGGGTTTATCAAGGGCCTCCTCATAATTGTTGGCTTCTTTTGAAATCAGTTTTTGTAATGCCTCAGCTACTTCATCTTCTAGAGTATGTGCCTGACTTTCAGTGATCTGTTATAAAGAAACAAAGAAACAAAGAATGTATGTATGTATGTATGTATGTATGTATGTATACTCTTCTCTACTCTTTTCTGGGCATAAACAAATAGACACCTGAACTCTAGTTGAATCACTTCTTGGCCTTTTGGCAAACTACAGCTGGACATATAAGCACTATGCAAGCTTCCAAAGTCCAACTCTTACTCAGCTATGACTCTTGTGAACTACATCAATGACCAGCATGGCACAATTAGCCTAAATGTGCAATAGTGACATGCATACCTTCACAGTAACCAACAGCTCTCAAATCAGACTTAAGATCTGCTCAACAAAAGTGAAACCATGCCTGGTGCTGGAAACCAAGCCAACTACTCAGTGCTAGTGAAGTCATGGATACTGGAGGAGGATCTATAACCTTTACTAAATCAGCATAATCGGTAACAACAACCCAAACATTTGTCCTTATGCCCACATATAGGTGTAGTCTTCACTCCTAATCAAGGACACGTCTCTTTGCAACAGACAATCCTTCCTTATGCAGGCTGCGACAGTGACTGCCCGGCACTCTAGGAAGAAGTGGGCTATTCATGCAAGCTGTCAGTGCGGCTTGCTAAAACCCTATGGATGCTTCCTTAGAGAGACACCAGGAGGGTTGCTCTTCTACAAATGCAGGTCACATGGTCTGTCACATGACCCTTGTCATTGCAAAGTAAGAACTTTAGTAAAACTTGCTCGGGCTGTGTCAGGGCTGAGCAGCCAAGTAAAGATCAAGGAAGATTCAACTGCTCAGAGTTTCTCAAACATACACTGCCAGTCTCTGCTTGTGTTATTTCTGGTTTTACCACACACATCCTCTGCCTCTGTTGGTTATATCCTGACTTCTCTTCTAAGCTCATTTCAAACACCTCTCCCTCTAAAGCTTTTCTTATTTCCAACTGGCACACACCACCATTCTCTAGCAAGCTGTGCAGTTTCTATGACTCTCAAACAGCTTGTGTGATGGGTGTGTGTGTGTGTGTGTGTGTGTGTGTGTGTGTGTGTGTGCCTATTTGGCTCTTATGATAAGCTAAAGGGAATCCTTTGGGGTCTAATTTGAAGCAGGTGCACCATATACATTCCACTACTTGGATTATGAAGCTTGACTACATAGGACACTGCAGACTGTACTAAGAACCGAGTTTGCTCTCACGCCAACAACTCACTAGGCCGAGATTCAGCAGTTTAGAAACAATCTTGTCAAACACTCCTCTGTCATTCTCTTCATAAATCCTGGTAGCAATTTTGTGGACAATGTCTTCAGCAGTTAATGGAGTTCCATCCAGTTGATGGAGGCCATCTGGGTCATCTAGACAGAGCAAACACAGCTTCATATCATGGCAAGTATACACCTATTCTACACATAATATTTCAACCTATACATTTTGAAACACTTAAATTTTTTTTATTATATATTTATTATTCATCCATTTAGAGATAGTGTCCTATTGTGTCCCCCTGGCTGGCTGGGAACTTTCAGCAATCCTCCAGCTTCTGCCTCTTCAGTGCTAAAATTTACAGGCGTGTACTGCCATGCCTGACTGCTAGAGTACATTTGTGTAACAAAGCTTAATGCTAAAGCTTAGCAACAATAATAAACTCCAATCTTCAAAAGACAGGGAACTTATTTTATGAGCTTGGGATAAAAATATTAAAATATAGCAAGAGATCTGCATAAACAACACACACACATGTTGCGGAGAAGCCTGAGAATATATGTCCTTAGTTTTCCTGGGAATTCATTTGGCAGTGTAACTTTAGACTAAAGCAAGGGACCATTCTGAGTGAGGAAAGAGGTTGTGAGTCCTGAGGTCCTACCACTTGGGAGACTGCGGCAAGGGGACTGCCATGAGTTTGAGGCTAGGCTGGGCTACAGAGAGAGATCCTGTTTCAAGCAAACCAAACTCACACTCTTAAAAAACAACAAGAACGACAATGGTGGCAATGACAACAAATAATGTGAGGGAGGAAAGGGATGAGGGTAATGAAGCCGTGCTCCATCTACACATTGAACAGACCCAACTTACAAAGCGTGTAGTTCTCCCCATTGCATAGAGGCAGATGGGAAAGATCAGTGGTTTAGTAACCACTTTACAACCTTGGATCACTGTACAAAATAATAAGGGTATTGGGCTCTGTGCTTAGCTCAGTGGTAGAGTGCTTGCCTACCATTTGTAAAGCCCTAAGTTAGAGTCCCAGTACTGAAAACAAAACAATAAAACAAGTGAATATGAATAATAAGGATATCTATTTATTTGATTGTAATGGAGTTGTAAGGAGCAGATGAAATAAGATGTTTAATGCACCTTTTGTATCATACAGCAATGTATGGAAAAATGTACTATTGTAATTGTGTATAATGGGTTTAGGTTTTTAAATAAAGGAATTGTGATTGTATCCTGGAGAAAAATGGAAATTGAAATCCTTGCCATATATGTTATGAATAATGCTTTTTTTTTTTCTTTTGAGACAGGGTATCATTGTGTAGACTGGCTTTGAACTCACAGGGATCTGTTTGCTTCTGCCTCCAGAGTGCTGAGATTAAATGCATGTACCATTATGTCCCACACTATGAATATAATCTTTATTACTTTCTCTCAAAGGAAGGACACCTTATTTCCATCCCAACTCTGCCCTTTACTTCCAAGGCCCTGGGGTATTTGGTCAGGGAATTTCTCCCATGGCATAGCCTTTCTTCTAGACTGTGGGGATGGTGGCATCTGCAGTCTCAGGCAGACACCTTTTCCTGCCTTTGGACACAGGCTTATTAAGATGAGTTGTGATTGTACACAAAGGCTGAGTCCTTGTTCATCTGGGAGCCCTTTGAGGCCCAAGTGCCAGAGTGACAAGTCATAAAATTAGTTCCCCTCTTGTCTGTTTGGAAGTTGAGTTCTTCATCTATTTCTCAGGAGCACAGACTCCCCAGTGCTTCAGTCTGAATTTTCCATTTGCGGGTTGCAAGTCAGGCACTGGGGACTAGTCTTCTGTTTAGGCAGAGGTGGAAGAATTCACTTCCCTCCCCACTTCTCCCCCAGGATCTGAGAAAGAAAGAATGTTGGCTGCCTGCTGAAGCTGGAAAATAACCCAGCTGACTGTTTTTCAGCTCATTTACTTCCCAATGGGGAGAATGCTGGTAACTCAGAAGAAATGTCTTCCTCTTCTGCTGTGCTGCCGCTGCCTCTTTAGCCAGGAACTCAGCTTTCCCACAGTGGAACTTAGCGAGCTGCAGTAAAAAGTAAAGCACTTGGCCACTGCCCTTGCAGTCCATCAGGTTCCCCAAAGCTCTTTGAAAATGAGAAGAATATCTCACGGTGATTTCCCAGCTGTGCACAAAGGAGTGTTTTATGCTCTCCGTATCAAACCCCAGAAAGCAGCCAGCATGGATTCAAATTTTAAACCTTTCGGCAGCGACAGTGTTCTATACAGACATCAAAGGACTGCCCTGCCGTTATCTACCCTGTTCTATCTTGTATCCCTAGTATCTCATTGAATATCTAGAATCCATATCTCCAATAAAATTAAAGGCTTATTATATGCCAGACAGCAGAGATAGAGTGATGGCTGCATCTAGCATCTCATTTAATACTTGGAATTAATTTCTTCAGTCAAATTGAGTTTAAGTCTTAATGTCTGCCAGACACTGGTGGAGTGATGATTGGGTTCAGCATGGTCCCTAGACACACAGAGCTGATTATCTAGTGCATAGCCTGCAATGTAGGAATTATATGATAAATTTCTTCTATGGAACACACTGAGGAACCTAAAGCATAAGCACACAAAGAGAAACTGGAGAATTTTTAATTTGGAGCTTCCTTAAATACAGTCTTGGGTCTGAGGACCCAGCCTGCCAATGATGCTCTCCCTCACTCTGTCTCCTGGGATGGAGCCTGTACATCTCTGATTTTTATTTCTATTCGGATGCCTCGGTGGGTTCAGACTCTCTGGCTTTCTGGCTCCAGGATTTGCATATTCTGAAAGGAAACTAGACATTCACCCATAAAACATTCTCTCTAACACTCTTGACTCAGTTTCCCTAGGATCTCAAGTAAAGTTAAAGTAAATCCTGGGATAAGCCTAAAACCATGAGAACTAGCCCTACCTATGAGCTGGCAGTAAAACAAATAATTTCAAAAATAGCCGCTCAAGTTAGTGTTCAAGTCACAAACAAATTTGTGTCTCTGCTGGCACCAACAACCAATGCGACTAATCAAGTCAAACACACCACCAAATTCTTTTTTTACTTTATTAAATCAAATGTTCTATTCAACCAGAGTGATTAGATTGATTTTTTTTTTTAAATTGCAGTTTTGCCCAGTGTCTACTTGCTTCTGGTCCACATACCTTAGGCTAAAATGTAAAATTCAAAATTTAAATTCCCCAAGTAGCAAAACATAAATCATTACCTCTATCCACTCAACACATATAATACACTTTAAAGCTCCCCTCAGGCTATGATGTTCTGTGAAAATCCCATTTAATTGGGAGTCCTCCCCAACTTCATAGTCAGCATAATTCTCTCATTGCCATGAAACAAAATAAGGACAGAGAAAGAAGAAATCCTGTACTCACTTTTAAACACTCATCTGCAGAATTGAAAATACTGTCACTTCCTCAAGACCTACTTATGTCAGTCCACTTATTCCCTCACACATTCATTCATTTCTTCATTTATTTATAGAACCATATAATGAATTAATGACTATTCAGGCACGGGCCTATAATTTCTCTGTTCTTCAGGGTCACATTGTATAAAGATAATCACAAGTCTTTACAGTTACAACTATAGAAGTTAAGACTACAAGAAGTGCATCAAAGGCAAGGGGCTGAGTGTCTATCAGATCATGCATGCTAGATACAGCCAGGCGTGTTTGACAGTAACTATGAAGACAGGAACCATATGAAGGATTTTTGTTTTGGTCCTAAGAGAAACAAGAATCTACTAGAAGAGATTTATGGGAAATAAAGAAGGCATGCTCTGCTTATCACCTATAATCTCAGCACAGGAACCTCATGATCCAGGGTAGCCTGCAAGGTCTTGACAAAAACAAACAAACAAACAAACAAAACTCAAAAGAACAACACCAAAGAAAACAAAAACAAACAAACAAACAAAAACAAAAGAAAAAATAAACAAAAAGACAAAACAAACTTAATGACATGCTGGTCATGGTGGTATATGTTTGCAATCCCTGCAGTCAGAAAACTGAGGCAGGAGGATCATGCGTTTAGACTATACAGGAAATACTGTCTCAAAAAAAAAAAAAAAAAAAAAAAAAAATCTCAAGGGCTCTGTGGTTGTAGCTCAGTGGTAGAGTGATTAACTACTAGCAGGCACGAGGTCCTGAGTTTGATACTGAACACTCCTTACAATGAACGGCATGCATGCACTTCAATATTGTATAACTGTAAGTTATACATGGTGCTGTCACACCATGAATAGGTTGAAAAAAGCTGGAGGAGTTGCTGGGAGGCCTGTAAAAGATTTTTTTCTAGTTCAAATGAGACATGGTTGGGTTTTGGGTAAGGGTAGCTGTGATTGAGAATAGTAGGATTTTGTTTGGGTGATAGATACTTGGGAAGCAAAGTGATTAAGTTTTGGAAGATTAGGGTTGAAGAGGTGAGAAAAAATTAAGAGAAATAGTTCAACTCTAGATTTCTGTCATGAAGGAAAAGAAGGATAAATAGCAGCAAAAAGGGACGGATATTTTGAATGGGACCCATGAGGAGGAAAGAGGTCATGAGTTAACTCTGGCATACATTTAGTTTTCGGTGCACTGAAATGTCCAAGGCAAGCTGTTAGGTAGGTAGGGAGAAATAGGTCAATAGCCCAGAGATGTCTGGGTTAAAATGGAGATGTAGAATGGCTAGAGGAACAAGGCAAAAGGAGGAAACTATCACCAGAAAACAGTGGACATTTCATCATCATGGGGGCATACTTACACATATAATTATTTGAAGAAATCACATTTTACTTGTACTAGATATTAAAATAAGTGGAAATAGTAAAATGGATTTAATAATAATATAAATATAGATATCAGGTTTTTAAAAACTTCAAGGCATCAATAATGAAACCAATCACCATTGTCACTTTTACTGCCTTTTTCTTTTTCTTTTTCTTTTCTTTTTTGACTGGGTCTGGCTGGTCAGGTGCTTTATGTAGCCCAGACTGGACTCAGTCTTGTGACAGCACTCTTGCTTCAGCACCCTGACTGTTGGGACAACAGGCATGAGCCACCACACCTGTTTTAGTAAAGAAAACTCTAAAGGGAAAAGTTGACTCTAGAGTCGGGTCTTTGTACATTGTCAGTAAATTTTGGCTTTACCTCAGTTTTGGACTTGACTAATAAAAGGCTATGAGCATATTAGATATATTTCAAAAGCATGTGACCTTTTCTTAATGAAACTCAAGATGAGAAAACAAAAAAGGCACAAAACATCTTTTAAATCATTTACCTTGAAATTTATGGTCCAGTCCACTCTTTGTAGAATCATACTCATCACTCAGTTTTCGATTTTTAGTTGAATCAACATCTTCCACATTCAATTTGTTACCAAATGGGGAGCTTCTTATGGATTGTTTTTCTTTCTCAAGTTTTTCCTTCTCTGTTATCGCCCTTAGCAGGTTCAAGTTGTCGATAGAAGAATAATTGCTCTCACTTGGCTTGCTTTCTGGAAGGAAAGTTCCAAGCCCAACACACCCATTTTAGTTTAGAATCCTGTGACCTACATTTTTGAACTGAACAGCAGTGTGATTTCTCTTACCTGGAGGGTATGCCTTCTTAATCTTGTCTGCCTCTGCCTCAGCAATCTGTGAAACAAACAGGAGACAGATCTCTCTTTAAACCATTGCTTCACAACTTACCAAGTATACAAGCTAAATGGCTTTATCTCTATGAGATTTACATTTGTAAAATGCAGGTAAAAAGCACCACTACAAGGATTAAATGAGATAAATCAAAGGGCTGGTGTATTTTAAGTATTAATGCCTTTCCCCTGTAATATTGACATAAGATAAATCTTCAATTAAGCATGGTGGCATGTGTCTATAATCCCAGGACTCAATAAGATGAGGTGGGATGATCAAGGGTTGTAGGCTACCCAGCAAGACCCTGTCTCAAACAAAACAACAAAGCAAACCACACACACACTTTAGTAAATTAAGCATTTTTCTAAGAGTGGATACAGTATTGGTCTCGCTGGGTTATCATCATGTGGGCATTCTAGATATTATACAGAACTCAATGTACATAACTGTGACAGCATATACTTATTGAAACTAGATTTCTCATCTTACTTTTTGTCAATTTATTTTTAATCTTCCAGAGTTTGTAAGTTCAAAATGGCTAAAATGTCACAACATGATTACAATAAGTGATAATGAGAATAAATGACATAGCAGTTATAATTTTACAACCAACCTACCTGTTCATTCAAAGGTCTTTCTGCACTTAATTCTCTATTATGCAGAGATTTGTCTAGAATAAATACACATAAATATAAATTTAATTGTGCATCTGGGTGGTAAAATATGTTTCTTATTAAAATAAAAAAAGCTCAGTGGAAAAAATTGGAGAAATAATTCTGGGTGGTTCTGAAATAAAATTTATATTAGCAAAGATTATCATATATATATATATATATATATATGATGAGTATCAATGTTGGTATGCTTATTATATTACTGCTTTTCCTGAGTTAAATGCAATCAGACTTTTGTTTTCTGATCAGAAATTTAACATATAGTTCTAATTATTGGTTTATTAACTCTTTTCAATTAGGCATATAAAATTCGATTACAATTGTTGGCCCATCAAAAGAGATCACAGTATCCTGCAAGTGTAATGAGTAGATCATCTTAGAAAAAAAAAATCCAAGCCACTTTAAGAACAGGCACTGGCTACCCTTTCCAAAATAAGATCCTTATAAACAGCCCATGTTATTTCTCTATTTAAAAAGTGGAGGAGAAAAATCCATCTTCCTTCTCTGAATTCAAAACGGTTCTGTCAATTTGCAGGGGATCAGATCTGGTTAGAAAAAGCAGGCAAGACGATTTAGAGCTCACAGGTCACACAAAGCATTATCTTTGCTGGGCCAAATGAAAGAGAGCTCCCAAGTAGAGAAATGTCCACTTACCTTGGCTGCCTTCCGGTTTGGGGAAAGCTTGAATTCGTCCACTATTGAGCACCAACACCAGTATCCAAGATCCGGTCCAAAGGAACCTCATTCTTCCTTGCTCCTCTGCTTTCTGCTGGGAAGAGCCTGGCGCTGGGCCCCTGAGCTGTAGCTTTTGTTATGAATGAGAAGGGGAGTAAGAAACTGGCAGGGACAGGGAGAAGCCTGGGCGCAGGGAGGGAGATAGAGCTGCGTGGCCAGCAGTTGCGCAGGGTTGGAGAAGATGCTCCCGTGGGCGCCCAGTGCAGGTGAGCAGGTGCAGCGGGCGCTGTCCACGCCGAGGGTGCTGAAGTTCCTGCGCGGGCAGACGCGGGTCTGGGCGTAGCTTTACTCCACTAGCTCCGGGAGAGGAAGTGAGGAGGAGGCGCATGCTCCATGCAAACCAGGAGCATGAGGATGGCGTCAGCGACCCAGAGCTACTCCAATCCTGCGGGAACGGAGAGGGGGAGGGGAGACAGGCAGGGTAGTGTATTTTCCATGCCGCAGTCCTGGGCATATTCCTATGTCCGAGTCCCCCGGATTGCAGGACGCTAGGCATGGTTGTTATACCTCAAGGACTAAATGCCCTCTCTGTCTGTGAACCTGCCAAGGAGAAATGAATAATCGTGTCTAATTTTGATTTGTGATTCTTCTGCAGTATCCTCTCCAAAATCACTTCCTGCTATACTCAAAAGGTACAATTCTATTATACCAATATAATTATACTCAAAAGATATAATTTTATTAAACTTTAGAAAGCCCTGCCTTTATTGATCAATGTTGACGTTCTCTTGATGCTTTTGCATCTCAGTTCCACAGGAGTCTTTTGGTTGGGAAACTGTACGAACATTGTTTCAAACAGATTTTGCATATAACTTCACTCTCGCAGATGGTGAGACAAAAAAGAAGACATATCCTTGTCCCTCTAGGAGTGAGAGTCCTCCGTAGTTAGGGAGATGAGCGCAGAAATACTCAGTTTCGTTCTCCTTTTTCTCCCAACCAAGTAGGAAAAATAGTTTGCTTTTGTGACATTCTCCCCTGGGGTCTCATTTATACCTGAGGATCTTGATGTTCTGGGAGTCTTTTGAGAAAATCAAGAGCCATGAAAACGATTCCTCACTTCATAAGCAAGTCAGAGCAGCACTTCCTATAATTATCTCAGAAGCCTGAGGTCATTGCATACAACTTACTATCCAAAGACTTTTAAGTGGTGAATACAAATAGCACACTGTGAGCAGGGCACTGAGCAAGCTCTTTAGTCTGATTTTAAAACAGAACTTGGATCTTTTTTCTTTCAGCTACAGCCTGCTGGGAACCCAGCTGAATAATGACCACAAGGAAAAATCCAGCACAACCAGGCCTTTGATTTCTGCATCCTCACTTTTAGTGACCAAGTTACTTATTTAAATATCACAAACAAACCCACTGACCAAACAAATTTTCCTCTTTCTGGAGGTTTTGAGTTTAATGGTCTTGCAAGTATTTCAGTTAAGAATCTAAAAGTCATTTTATTTGTTTCCATGTGAAACTTTTTTTTTTTTAAAAAGTGATACATAAAATCTGAGTTTGCAGAATGTTTCTAAAATCTAGCAGTTATTTCTAAGCAAATAGCTCTTTCTTAATGTTTGTATAATATAGTATTAGCATCCTGGCATACTGTGGCCTTAAAAATTAGTGCAGGGGCTGGAGAGATGGTTCATTGTGTAAGAGCATAGACTGCTCTTGCAGAGGAAACAGCACCCACGTAAGTGCAGCACACAACTGCCTGTACTTGCAGCCTCAAGGGATCTGACACCCTTTTCTGGCCTGTGTGAGCAACTCATGTTTGCATTCCCCACATAGACACTCACCCTCAAAATAATACAATTTTGTTTAAATACTTTAAAAAAATAGCTCATATTTTTTAAATCACATCTGCACGAGAAATAATTTCTTTAGATGCTGTTTCTTAAAACATAAATGATAGCTTTGTTAGCTGACATATCCATTTAATTTGTTATTGCACTAGATGGACCCTTAACCTTGGAACATGCGATGTTTCAGATGAGCTGAGTTATGGAACAGGAAAGAACCATAGAGAGTGAATTAGTTTACATTCTTTAGTCTTTTGTACATGATCATATTGGGAAAGTATAGGTCTGTAAGTGGAGTAATTCTAATTTAATTTATTCATTTAATTTAACACACACACACACACACACACACACACACACACACCCGACTTGGAATGTAGGAATGTACCAGATAGCTGTTTGTCAGCAGCCCACAGAGTAGGAAAAGATCTTCACCAACCCCAATCTGACAGAGGGCTGATCTCCAAAATATACAAAGAACTCAAGGAGCTAGTCACCAAAACACCAAATAATTCAATTGAAAAGTGGAGTACAGAACTGGATAGAGAATTCTCAATAGAGAGATCAAAATGGCTGAAAGACACTGAAGAAAGTGCTCAACATCTTTAGTCATCAGGGAAATGTAAACCAAGGCAACTCTAAGATACCATCTTACTTCTGTCAGAATGGCTAAAATCAGAAAAACCAAAGACAGTTTACGCTGGAGAGGATGTGGAGAAAGGGGATCACTCCTCCACTGCTGGTGGGAGTGCAAACTTGTACAGCCATTTTGGAGATCAGTATGGCGGTTCCTCAGAAAAATGGGAATCAGTCTACCACAGGACCCGCAATTCCACTCTTAGGCGTATACTCAAAAGATGCATATCCATGTAACAAAGACATCTGTTCAACTATGTTCATAGCAGCATTATCTGTAATAGCCAGATGCCCCTCAACTGAAGAATGGATAAAGAAAATGTGGTACATTTACACAATGGAGTATTACTCACTGGGGGGGGGGCCCATGGAATCTTGAAATTTGAAGGCAAATGGATGGAACTTGAAGAAACCATCCTGAGTGAGGTAACCCAGTCACAAAAAGACAAACATGGTATATAGTCACTCAGATATGGATTTTAGACATAGAGCAAAGGATTACCAGCATACAATTCACACAGCCAGAGAAGCTAGGAAACAAGGAGGACCCTAAGAGAGATATACATGGTCTACCATAGAAGGGGAATGGGACAAGATCTCCTGAGCATATTGGGAGCAGGGGAGGAGGCAGCGAGTGAAGAGGGAATTAGGAGAAAGAGAAGAGAAGAAGAGGGGAGAGGTGAACATGGGGAAGCAAGAAGATTGAGTCAGGGGAGGAATAGAGGAGAGCAAGAAATAAAGGGAGCCATTATAGGTTTGAAGATAGAATTCTGACACTAGGGAAATGTCCAGAGACCTACAAGGATGACCCCAACTAACAATCTAAGCAATAGTGGAGAGGCTACCTTTAATATTCTTCCCCAATAGCGAGATTGATGACTATCTTATATGCCATCCTAGAGCCTTCATCCAGTAGCTGATGGAAACACAAGCAGACATCCACAGCTAAACACTGATCCAAACTCCTGGAATCCAGTTGCAGAGAGAAAGAAGTGATGAGCAAAGGGGTCAAGACCAGGCTAGAGAAACACACAGAAATAGCTGAGCTGAACAAGGGGGAGACCATGGACCCCAGACTGATAGCTGGGAAACTAGCAGTGGACCTACTCAGACCCCCTGAACGTGGGTCCCAGTTAGAAGGCCTGAGCACTCTATAGGACCTCTGACAGTGGAACCAGGATGTATCTGTGGTGCATGAAAGGACTTTAGAAGCACATTCTGCATGAAGGGATACTGCCTTAGTCTAGAGACACAAGGGAGGGTGTAGGCCTTATCCCAAACAACTTGACAGATTTTGCTGATCCCTCCTGAATCCTCCCTGGGGAGTGGGTGGGGAATGGGACTGAGGTGGGAGTGTGTGTGTGGGGCATGGGAGGATGAGAGGGAGAGGGAACTGGGATTGATATGTAAAGTAAGGAAAAAAATAAAATCAGTGATATTGGAACAAAAAAGATAGCTGTTTGTATAAAAAGACAAGATAACATTGGTCACTGTTGCTCTCTTGCCTAGTAAAGAAAAAAAAAAAAAAAAAGAAAAGAAAGAAAGAAGGAAGGAAGGTAGGAAGGTAGGAAAGAAGGAAGGAAGAACCCCCCAAAACAAAAACAAACCATTGTGGAACCAACAACAAAACAACTATATAGTAGATAAGCTTCATGTGCAACATGGCGCTTTTAGTTAAGCCTCAGTGAGCAAACAATCTTAGATGTTTGTAACTGGTTTCCTTTGTACATATAGAGTTCAAATAGAGCGAGCCCAAATAATGGAACTGGTAAGGTGTGGTGGTTTGAATAAAAATGGCTCCCATAGACCCATAGGGAGTGGCCCTGTTAAGAGGTGTGGCCTTGTTGGAGTAGGTGGTTTGGCCTTGTTGGAGAAAGTGTGTTACTGTGGGGTGGGCTTTGAGGTTTCAGAAGCTCAAGCCAGGTCTAGTGGTTCACTCTCTCTTTCTATTGTCTGCCAATTTAGATGTAGAATTCTCAATTACTTCTCCAGCATCATGTCTGCCTGTATGCCACCATGCTTCCCACTATGATGATAATGGACTAAACCTATGAACTGTAAGCCAGCCCAGTCAAATGCTTTCCTTTATATGATTTGCTGTAGTCATGTTGTCTCTTCACAGCAATAGAAACCTTAACCAATACACAAGGTTTGAAAGAAAAATTTAGTATTTTGTTAAAATTAAGAAAGGTTAAAGTGTTTCATTCTTATATACAGACATGGAAACATTAAATATTTTAGAAGTAGTTTGAATTTATAAGAGAGGAGTACTGACCCAGATGATCATGAAAAGAGATGGTAAGAGTAGTACAATACACAGTGAGTCTGTTACTGTACGTGTGTGTGTCTTTCAGCACAAAAGTAGGCAAACTGTCACATGAGAAGGTGCCTTTTGAGCTGAGAATCTTGAAGATGAAGATATCTACCTAATCTGGTGACACACATCTCTAATCCTAGCACTCAGGAGATGGGGATAGTCAGATCATGGATTCAAGGCTAGCTTTATTACACTGCAAGTTCATGGCCAGCCTGGATGACATGAAATCTTGTCTCAAAAAGTAAACAAGCAGCACAATAATGGGTAGGGACAACTAGAAATAAGTCTACTTATTACAGAAAATATATTATTATTACTAAGTGACTATTATATTGGCCATTATTATGTATTCTATTACAGAAGATGTCAAATA